TAAGCATCAATAATGCGACCAAAGGCATGGAACGTCAAGGATTAGAGCGGATTGTAGTCGATAAAAATATGTGGCTGTCCTGTTCACGTGTTGCTTCCTAACTAGGTGACATGGTACATATTTTACTCATTTCAACTAGGGGGAGACAAATCCAACGAATGAACAACAATGTCCTGATGAGGACATAACAACTTAAACTGCAGACCTGTGTCTACCGTTCAGGCAGTAAGAGTAAAAACTCGCCCCCTGCTGGATGTAAAATGTAGGGTTGCTACTTGAATGTGGAATAGCTGAAACATCCTGTCTCAAAAGTCAATAAAAGATTAATACATTTTGGTATCACATTTTTTTAGGTGCTTTACTAATCCTTAATTTTTTTTTAACTGTCCAGTACAGCCCGAGAGAGTGAGAAAAAAACTCAAATTGTAGCTTGATTGTCACGTAAAGTGTGTGATGTGTGGATCAGCAGAAAGAGGATGAGCTCTGTAAGCCCAGCTGAAGAGTCTTAAAGCAGAGAACATCTGTCCCCGGTGCTTAGAAAGTCACTGCATTGGCTTAGACCCTGTGTCCACATAGAGTCTTTTTCTGTCAAAAAGGCGCTGGCATGGTGCTGGAGCGAGGCTCATCCAAACCTTTAACCAAAAAATGCTCCTAGCTCTTTTCAGAAAGGTTGAAGCATGACTGCTCATGACTTCCATATTTGTCTTTACTATATTTGTGCTCCTATCTATTTGTTTGACTTTAATTTCACCATGAGCTTCATCTGGCTTCAACTAGACGATTCTTGCCCTCCTAATTGTATAAAGCTTCACCGCTCAATCTGACAGTTGTGAAGCGATACGTGTACAGAGATAAAAGTCACACTCACCTGCTGCAACACACATGTTTCTGCCTGCACATCTGCTGCTATAAATGGGCTTTTTGGGTCAAAGACAGACAGACAAGGCCAATACAGACTTATCCTCCATTTTCCATAGTGATGTCATCAGCACTATCCTGAAAAGTTCATATATTTTCAAATATAAGCGCTTGGAGCGGCTACACAAAAAACAACACTGGGTGCAGTATTCTTGAGGCGGAGGCATGCTATGGTACACTCTCTTTTTACTAAAACAGCAATTGAATACAGACGCAGGCGCTCAGAAGAAGGTGCTGTGTGGAACCCCAGGGCCTTACTCCTCTGCTTATCACAGTTCCAAAAGGGTTAGTCAGAGACTTTGCTGCTGCCATGCAACATAAAAAGGGAAAGGCTGCCCTCTAGCAGCTAAAAGGAAGGAAAGAAAGACAGAAGGAAAGAAAGAAAGAAAGATATGTGTGCTTACCTGGGAGTATAATACAACCACTATTAGTCATTCAGGTATAAACTTGAAAAACACTGACACACTTTTGCTAAACAATTAAATGTTCCAAAGGGTGGATTTAATACTGGTTTTGGGTGCATGTTTTCCCTGCCTTGGTGCTATCTTGTGGTTTCCCTTTTTTGAAGAGCACCATTTTCACACAATTCACATTCAGCTTTATGTGTGTCATTGTGAGTATGTGCTCCTGGACACAACTGCAGTAGGAACTCCCACAGTCGAGGTTTCTGTTACATTGTGTGTGTAGTTTCCACCTTGCAAAACCTTTTTTTTTAGATTTCAAACACTGAGTTTCAACCTTCCAAAATATTTTATCTGCTTCGAAAAATGTAATAAATACATCATTCCAATAACATTTAATATTCTGTTGGAATGTCCTCATGAATTTGAATGATTCTTCTTAAAATCAATATACAATTAGGGGGGAGACACATCTTGTAGAGAAATGACTAGCAGACTTTGACCTGAGCTTGGTGAGTCTGTTTGGAGGCCCATAGTGTCTGTTGATCTGTCATTGAGATTATATTATTCTGAGTACTTCTTTACAACACTTTGAACCACTTTCATACATCACAGTGCATCTGGTAACAGCTTAATAAACCTTTTATGGGTGTCTACAGCAACCATGCAACAGACACAGTAACAGTCAAACTGTGTTGTGACTTTCAGTGCTCCACCTTACCTGATCACCATGCAGACCTGCGGAGCCCGAAACATCTCTTCTGTCTGCTGACTACATGGAATTATATACTGTATTATTCTTATTCTCAGCACTGCAGAAAAAGCTTCACGCACTGAGTATGTGTGTGTGTGCGTGCATGCATTTGTGTGTGTGTGTGTGTTTCATACAGTAGTTTCATACAACAGAAGTGGAGCAGTTGCTGACTCAGCCTCCTCCAATCTGCATAGTGACTCCCCCTGAAGTCCTCTATGTTCACACACACACACACACACACACACACACACACACACACACACACACACACACACACACACACACACACACACACACACACACACACACACACTGGTAGTGACCATGGATGTGAATCTGTTTTCAATATACACACATGTGCACAGAACAGTGCACAATGAAATGTGGCCTATGCATTAAAGTATCAGGAGTAGTGGGTACAAGGACTTGGGGGTCTGTTCCCTTGATTCGTCACATAAGCACACAGTTACTGGAGGAGGCTTGCTTCCCTTTCTTTGACTGGAGGGTTTGGTAACATCAATTCAGAGTGCCAGCATGTCTGTTTCCTGGAGGCGGTACTTAGAATGCAGACTCAGTACTTTTTAAACTTAAAAATATCAGTACAAAATAATTTATGTTAATTTTTAACAGCACTATTTTAGGTTGCTATCCACAGACTTTGTAGGAATGTGGGTGTTATACTACTTGGTTTGTAATCTGAAAATACCAATACTAAAATTAGCAATATTTTATAACTTCAATTATGGATACGCCAAGCCATACATGATACTGTAAAAGCATTGAACTACAACGTTTGGAAAGGACTGGCTTATCTAAAGCTAGTTGAGTAGCACTTAAAATGGTTTGGCTCTATGATACCTGATGTACTTACAGTATATGATTCTGTTTTCTTCAAGTTTGTATCTTCTTGGTTGAATGCACTTATTGTAAGTCGCTTTGGATAAAAGCGTCAGCTAAATACAATGTAATGTAATGTAATGAAAGTGGTACATAAATCCTGTACAACTGTTAAAATGGAATATAATGGGACAATACAACACAATTATGTGTGATTGGCAGAGCAGCATTGCTTTTACCAATGTTCCTACTAAAACTATAATAAAAGACATGTGTCTTTGACGCTGTCTTTAGAGTGCACCAGCAGAGATCTTAATGGGTCCTGAAGTAGTCCCATATGTCTTACATCTTTAATGAATTTAACCAAGCAAAAAGCAGCATTATCCCACCTTGACTGCCAGGTCCTGTCATTATTAATCGGCCATAAAGTGTATTCATATTGAAAAACCTTAAAAAACAAAGGCATTATGTTTTACAGACAAATTAATCTCAACTCGAGGTCCACTTTTCTGATCTCAAAAACATCATCACCAAATGTTAAGAGAAAATTGTGTGACTTGCAGGTTCTGTTTACTGATTAAGACCATAAGCAAATCATTTTTAATGTACTTCACAGGCATAACAACATACCTCACACCTCTGTTCTTTATGGTGCTTTTTCAATCAATATTAACTTCAGAGGCATTTTTGTGTAATTTATCAGTGTGGATGGATATACAAACTGAAATCATGCAATACAGTTTCAACAAGGGAAAGTGAGTCATAAATGTCTCTTTAATAGATGTATTTCATTATTTCAGAACAGTTTGAAGGTGGCTTAATATTTAGCAGAGGCATATTGGAATTCATTGTCAGAGTTGAACAGCAGAACATTGTTTAAAATGTTACATCTTAAACCACCTATTATTATCAAATGTATTTATGTACCTGAGTCTGACCCTTGTTGTAGCAGTGTAAACCTCCAGAAATGCTTGATACTTTAACCCAATGTAATGAGACAGATGGGCACTCCATGTCTGTTTGTTGACTACCTAAATGACCTTTTAGATTAAAAATAAATGTTTGTTTCTCCCCTATTGACTTAAATACATAAATCCTCATGGTTATTTTATATGTTGACCCTGTTTTTATATTTAAGTCAGAAAATATGAAGCAAACTAAGTGTGTCAAGTCCTTATTTTAAGACATTGAATGAGGTCAAATTGCAGAGGTGGAAGAAGTACTCAGAACTTGTATTTAAGTAAAAGTAGAAGTACCAGAGTGTAGGCATACTCTGTTACATTAAAAGTCCTGCATTCAAAATGTTACTCAAGTAAAAGTACAAAATTATTGGCATCAAAATATACTTAAAGTACCAAAAGTAGAAGTACTCGTTATGCAGATTGGACCATTTCAGAATAAATATATATGATATGTTTGATTATAATTATTGATGGAGTTAAGTGTTATCAAAGCTGGTAAAGGAGCAGCTATATTTTTGAATGACTTTGTATACTGCAGGGTAGCTTGTGAATTTACTCCAGGTGGAACTAAAGTCTGATTTAAGAGTTGATTATATTTCACATAATTCATCCAAATCTGCAAAGTAACTAAATGTAGTGGAAATAGCAAAACATTGAAATACTCAATTAAAGTAAAAGTATCTCAAATGTTACAGTACTACAGTACTTGAGTAAATGTAGTTAATTTACACCACTGTCAAATTGACCCAAAAGACAGTAAAATGGTTGAACCAAGGCCCTTTTGTTTGTAGAGCTTTCACTTAAATGGGGAAGGTTTTTTGAAATCCATGATCCAATAAAAAAATAGAGACAGAAAGTTCAGGTATGAGGGAAAGAGAGAGGCAGTGAGGAGGACAAAGTAGGCTAAGTGAGGAAGGAAAAGTGAGGATAAAATGGAGTGAAATAGAAAGAATGAGGAGAGCAGGGTTACTGAGCGACAGAGACAGAGAGGAGAGAAGAGAGGTAGAAGGTGATTGTAGCACTAGTCTATTCTGCCGCAGCCTACCGGGCGGGGGGATTACTGCCGTGCAGCCCGGAGCTTGACGCGGGACGTTCCTGGTCTCGAGCACCGCGGATATACTTCGTCTGGCACGCGCATGATGATATAAATGAATATGGAATGATAACGACCGACAGCGGGAGATGGGCAGGCGTTGAGATCAGCTTTAACTTCCCCCGGTGGCGGCTCAGCTTCGAAATGGTAGGACAAAAACCTGTTCCGGTACAGTAATGTAGTAGAGTGCCCCTTCCTATTAGCGTGCTGTTTCGTATTCTCCAAAAAGACGCAATGCGAGGAGTTGAGAGGAGCATTAGCTACGCAGCTGAAAGTGGAGCAGAAAGCTCTCTCAGTGTCAGCAAGCCTCTTTCCGTAGTTCTCTGGCTTTAGTTTCGAGCAACGTCAGGATATTACAATCCACTTTATCATGTTTTGTCGCTGAATTCCATGCAAAAAATGGTCAAATAAAACAGCTCTTACACGCCGGCTAATATACACACCTGGCAAAACACAATTTATAGACAATTTTGAATTGTCAGGATCCAGTCTTACATTCGGCATACACAGTAGTAGCAAAATACACCTTAATGTAACTAAATCTTAACTTTTAGAGTCGGTTGGCCAGTTCTTCATATTCCTTCAAACGCACTGTGCGAGGCGGAAGCAGGTGTGTGAAACCATTGTAAAACTTAATATTTTGTCAACACAAGGCATTTTTGAAACATTGTACATGCGCCGAATTTGTCAGTAGACGATTACATAGGAGGTGACTGTATGTCACACGCCATACCACAAGTATGGCTGACAATGAACAAATTAAGTTTAAATTATTACAGTTTTGAATGAAGTTTGGAGCAACGTCGCCTCCGTGCGGGAGAGCGGGGCGTATTGGCGTTACACCGGCAAATGCGGTCTCCGTCCCCTGGCAGTGCGTTCACCGGACAACATGAGTTGGTGTGTGTCTCCGCGCCTGCAGTCTGCGGGTGAAAGTTGATGAGTGTGGGGCTTTGTAGAAGAGCGGCCAGCGGCTGGCCGGCTGCCTCCGGGCCGTCCGTCCGTCCCACAGGGACAGCGGAAGGCCAAGTTGGAGTTCAGCTCGAGCCTCTGGTTTGTTTGTGTGTGTGTGTGTGTGTGTGTGTGTGTGTGTGTGTGTGTGTGTGTGTGTGTGTGTGTGTGTGTGTTAGTCAGCAGAAAATGGCCGCATTTAGAGCCAGCGGGCTAAGTTAGAATGACAGGCCGGCAGAGGGCCTCCTGTCCCGGGAAACAGCTGGGGCAGAGAGCCGCTGGGGTGAACACAGAGCTGCAGCTCCTGTTAGAAACACTCGAGTTTAGTTGGGATGTGAGCCACGAGACAACAGCTCAGAGGCCACTGTAGAGAAGAAAGCAGCCGATACATGACACAGATTACATTTGAGGATAGACGTTAGCTTTTTTGATTGACTGCTGTGGAGAAATTCTCCTGAACACAGTTTGAGAGCTCAACAGGCTGAAATGATATGAGACTGCTCGATCATGTGACAGTTGGTAGATTAATAATGCTGCTCCAGTTGAAGGGTCATACATTACTCCTTTTAAAACAGCAACAGCAGCCATACATGATGACAATAAGAGTAATGAGATGAAAGACTGATACTATGATATGTTTAAAAAAACAAAACATTTTATCTTAAAAATAAAGAGAGTAATAATAATAATATATTAATTGTATATAGCGCTTTTCTGGACCCAAAGACGCTTTACATTTGGGAGGGGGGGTATACAAACAAAACAAAAAACAGAGACAAAGCCAAAAAGAAACAAAACACAACAGAAAAGCAGTCAGGAGGAAGTTGATTAAGAGGGGGGGGGGGGGGCTTTATAGATAAAGAGTTGAAGAGGTGGGTTTTGAGGCGGGACTGGAACAGGGTGAGGGACTCAGACTCACGGAGGTCTTGGGGGAGTGAGGTGGGGTCGTGTTATGCCTTATGGTAAACAAGGTCTGTGTTTCAACTGCAGGGAGTCATATAGACGATAAATAAGCTCTCCATATGATGCATCATTAATACAAATCCAACCATAAACAGAGAACATGCTTAATTCTGGATATTAGATTGTAGCTCAGCATACCATTAATCAACTGAATAGCCTTATTTATTCTGTCCCTAATGTACTCAATATATTAGTGACATGTCAGCTGAATTCCTTCATACTTTGCCAAATGAAGAGCATGTGTTTCATTTAATTGTAATTGTACCTGTGTGTGATTCTGAAATAAATGCATGAGCAAATATTCAGATCTTTTGATGAACTTTGATTACAGTTTCACACTGCAGAAATACTTATTTGCAAGTCTCGGTTTTGGAATAAAAATGTTATTATCAAAATGTTTAAAAAAAAAGTATTTAGAGCAGAAACATGCACATTATGAGTGTTACATAATTATATAATAATTATGTATGTTTTCAGGTTTAGTTTATTTATACAATGAGTCGCATATTTTAGATGCAAATCTTAATTTACAAGTACAACTACTAGCAACATATTGTAGGGCAGAGGAAATACATCACTCTGAAACACAGTGGAGTAGAATTGGATTACCCCGACCGAAGTAAAGACACAATTACTCCCCGGCAAATTCTAAAATGATTTTTACTGTACTTATGTGAATGAAGTTACATTCCAGCACTGGGTGTTAGAAGCACCATGACCCACTGTTTTTCAGAAGAAAACATTTCAACATGACCTGAGAGCCTCGGGTTGTGGTAACCCTATAGTGTGTATCAGAGTCCCCTGTGGGACTGTAACAAAGTACATTTTCTCAAGTGCAATTTTGCTGTACTTGTATTAACAAATGTATGGTTTAACTCTACATTTAAGAAGTAAATATTGTACTTTTAACCCTTTACATTTATCTGAAGGATTTAGTTGCTATAGCAACTTTAGACAGCAAAATATAAACCATGAATAAATAAACATTTTCATATACCTAGGTTAAAATATTTTTGCAGTATATCAAATAATGAAGAATAACCACCTTTACCAGCTCTGATGAACATATTCATGTGTTATTATTGCAATAATTCAATATATATGATGGCCATTTTGCATAACAAGTACTTTTTCGACTTTAAGTGTATTTTGAAGAAATAAAATACTTTTACTCATGGAAGATTGTATGCAGGAATTTAACTTATAACAGAGTTTTTTAAAATTGGTATAGGTTCTTTGACTTAAGTAAAATACCTGAGTAGGCTACTGCTTCCATCACTGTAGTGCATGTAAAGCGGATACTCATGTAAACTGTGTGTAGTGTGTGCGCCATAGACTGGTGTGCACTCAGTGATGTTGTACACTGACTATAAAGCGTGTCCTCATGTAAACTGTACGTGTGTCAGTTTCCTCTGTGTGACTGTACTGCACCCAGGGTCGGCTCTAGAACAAATCGAATGGGGGGGCAATCATTTACCAAGGGGGGGCACACACTGCCGTCAACAACCAACACACAAACACCAACGCAACTTCAATAAAAAAAAAAAAACATGCTGTAAAGTCTATTGTCTTTCACACACATTGCAGGGTGTAGTGCTATTTTCTAGCGCACCTATGACCTGTGCATACATGCACAGTTATGGCACGACCACCAAAACAGAAACATATAAGGACATAGGCCACCATATAAAAAGTGTGCAAATGTATTTAGTATCCTATCCATGTGAACATGTTTTAGGTGGGGGTGGACCTAACCTCCTCTAAGAGGGTCTGGGGGCTTGCTCCCCTGGGAAGATTATTTTTAAAATATTGAAGTTAAAAGCATCAATCTGGTGCACTTTGAGAGCAAAGTGGAGAGATCTATGGATACATCTCTCAACATCCATATGAAACAGAACTGTACACAGATTTACTTTTTCTTTATGGATATTTTACAAATCACTCCCCTTTTAAACTTTATTCTTGTGGTAGGCCTACTGTCCTATAGTATTTCATACCGGTTTTTCATTTATTCTCTTATTCTTTAATAACTATAATGATCATATAAAGGTATTCCTCGCAAATATTTGTTTACATAAATGGTGACCAAACCGTTTGAGACCCACTGAGATAACCTACACTAAAGTGAACTATCTAAACACTGAGAGAGTCCTTACCTCACTGAGCTGAGGTTATACGATCCTCTCAGTCTGACAGGAGAGGACTGTCCTCCACCTTGGTGTAGAAACAGCTCTTTATATCCGTTAGCATAGCTAGCTAACCAGATGCTAACAACAACATTCCACGTTACCGCTCGCGCACTCACAAAATGCGCTCGTGCCACACACACACAGAGCCGAGCTTGAATTAAACCCTTAGACCCAGAAGTAATTGTACTGTACTGTATATCGTATTATTTTCGATGACTTTACTGTAATCAGTGTAACAGATGAACATATCGCCACTGGGCTTTCATCTACACACAGGCACAGCCACGTATTGATAACAAAACAAAGGTCGGGGGTCATTGGTCAAGCAACACACCAATCAGAGAGCAGCAGTGAGCACACCTCAGGCTGTGTTTTATATTTGTATTCTTTATTTCTGATGTATTTCACACAAAAAACCTTTAGTGGAATAGTTTTCACTTATATGATTACAAGAAAAAAAAACGGCAAAGTGGCAAGGCTTGCCCACCCTGCGTTGGGGGGGCACAGTGACTCATTTGGGGGGGGGGCATGGCCCGCGAATGACCCCCCATGACGCCGACCCTGACTGCATGTAGAGCGGGTCCTCAGATAAACTGTGTACAGTGTACACACTGTATACAGTGTGTATACAGTGTGTGTGAAGTGCATGTTAAGCGGGTCCACATAAACTGAGTGCTGTGTTGCAGCTGCTGCGGCTTTAAGCCCGTCTTTTGGGATGGGCTGAATTCATAACGTCATTTCACTTCTCTTTCTTTTATTCTTCGCCCCCTCATCTCCCTCCCTCTCGAAATGACACCGTCCCCGTGCTCCGGTGCCCCTCCGGCTGTGCTCTCCGCGCAGTGATTAGAATTCAGAACTTTCTCTCGGTGTGTTTCTCCCTGTGGAGCCTTTTTCCGGAGCCTCAACTTTTCTGGCGTGTCATCATTTCTGGAGTTAACGCGGCAGAGTCATCCGAGGCGAACAGACCCCGCTCATATGTGGGGAGAGAGGAGAGCCAGGGGAAGAGGGCAGGAAGCGCAGAGCCGGGGGTAGCCTGCTGCTGCTGCCCGCTGCTGCTGCCTCTGCCGCGGCGCACACAAATGGCGAGCCTCGGGATGTTTGTGCTCTGATCCGCTGCTCCTCATCAACATGATGTTTTCTCCCCTCTCTCTGTCTCAGGTAAAAGTGCGCCGCCCTACATTATTTGATTACAACTATGAAGCTGTGTTGATTTGATAATGCAAAGTATAGGAACAACTATTTCATGACAGTTATCGTTTTCAACAATGCCTAGCTGCAGTGCAGGACAGGGCAGACAGTGAAATATGAAGAAGTGCAGCAGGCCTGCTGGTTTATTAGCTGCTCTACACTGTGTTAGTCACTTGTGGTGTGTGTGAATGTTTTTGTCTATGTTTGTGGTGACCTGACATTTTACACACACACACACGCACACGCACACACACATACCATGTATACATCACTTCAGGGGACATTACATTGACTTACATGCATTTCCTGGAGACTTATCCTAACCTTAACCATAACCAACACATGCCTAACCCTAACCCTAACCCTAAACCTAACCAAGTCTTCACCCTAAAATGAATGATTCCCCTCATGGGGACCTCCAATTTGTCCCCATAAGGGAGGCGAGTCCCCACACGTGACTATGTAAACATATTTAGGTCCCCACAAGTATAGTAATGCTAGACCACACACACGCACACACACACACACACACACACACACACACACACACACACACACACACACACACACACACACACACACACACACACACACACACACACACACACAACCTTAAATATGCCATATGCTTTTCTAAACAGTAGATTTAAGAGAGCAGGAATTCTGTTTTATTATTTGAATACTGTAGGTCTCAGAGCGCAGTGTGACAGCCAGCTTTGAAGTGTGGTTGGTTTGTTCTTGTTTGTACCAATATTTCTAATGTTAAGCTCTTTAAACATGTTTCTTTCATATTTAAAAAAATCTGATGTGAATCATGCCAATGACACAGATGAAATAGCAGCCGACACTCCTCCTATTATATTTAATATAACACTGCCTTTTCTTGTGATAGTGTTACTACTGATTGCTATTTCAGAACTTCTCATGACCCTGCCACCCACTACCAGTATTACTTTTATTACTTTAGCGACCACTACTGCTGCTATTGCTACTAGTATTTGCCTTTCCTGTGATTGATATTTATTTTTGGGTCAACGTTGAGGAGCACTATTGTTGCAACTCTAGATATACACCTCGTGGGCAGATACTGACTTAAAGGTAGGGTAGGTAAGAATGGAGAAACCAGCTCGAGTGCGCTAGAATTTGAAAGTACGCAGCCAAAAAAAATCTGCCCCTTCCTTCAGACTTCCTTACAGAGCCCCTCCTCCAACACACACGAACGCGCACATGACCAATGAGGGCACGAGATAAGTTTGTGTACGGATGGAAGGCTGACAGGCAGGTAGGCCATCCAGTTATTTTAGCCGGGCCGGCTCAGATGATTGGTCGTGCTTTTTACTAGCGCCACGGCTTCCACAGATGAATTTTTTTAATGTATTTATTGTCAAAGCCTTTAATGTATTCATTGCTATCGGGATGTTAAGAGCATTCCATGGAATATAACAAAAAATGTTTCTGAAGTGAATTACCTAGCCCATCTTTAAATTGCATTGAAAAGGGTTTAGACTTGAATTGTATTCAGTGTCATTTTAAGATTTTATTTCAGAACAGTGTAGGTAAGACACACAAGGATAACAGTATATATATAAATAGTACATTATAAAATCTAAATAACAATAATACTTGTATGTAAAGGTATGTGAGTTTACATATTTACTGAATGAAGATAATTATTAATATGCATACATATTTACGGTATATACGTGCAAGTCCAGAGAAGGTTTATTCAGTGAAGGTTGTTAAAGTAATGTACATGGGGGCCAAGGCGCCTTAATGTGACGAGGAGCGATGAGCCTGTGGCTGAATATGCTTCTCAGAGGGGGGGGGGGGATCTGCAGGATAGCTTCCTCCTCCCCTCGGCAACCTCCTCCGGATTTCCCAATTTAACAATACAGAGCTAGTCTTCTTATAAGCGTATGACTAAATAATTACAAACACTACAGAAAATCGAGATTCAATTATACTAAGCTAAAGGTTTTAACTATTTAATGATAAAGTTAACCAAATATTTTGATCCAAAAACAAGAAAACCACTGAGATGAATACAAAACAATGTAAATTGATTATTTTCAGTCCAAACTACAGTCATATGCATAGTTTCAATAAATAATAATTTATTAGGCTGTTACTGTGTTGGAGTCACAGTAATCTATGAGCTATAGTTATGGTTAGACTTGGGAGGAAACAAAGTTATCAGAGTGAAAATGATTAGTCAAAGCAGCACACAGAAATGCAATGTTAGATATACGGTTTTGGTTTAATAAACCAATTGTTGTTTTGATTACTCCAGTGTATATGACACAATGAGACGGAATTTTTTTAATTTCATTTCAATCAACCATGAGGATACCAATTCAACAAAAAGAATCTTGCGAGTACATTAGCTTAAAATATACCAAACCATTTTAAGTGCTTGGGCATTATCTTCCAATTAACAACATAGTGCTATACACAAATGGAAGGTTTTCTTTATTTATTCATTTGCATTCAAAACAGGTTGGAATTTCACTGTCCTGATATCACTGAAGAGCTCAGTCCACCATTTTGGAGCCAAGAAAGCAAGAGTAACGGCCCGTCCACACTACAGCTTCGACAGCTTCAAAACGGTTTCCAACGCTTCTGCCCATTCACTTTGAATGGGGTGACGTCACTTTTCGCCGAACTGCATTGTGGGAAGCAGAGCGGAGCTTTTCTGGCGTTTCAGGCTGCAAAAGTTGAGCAATGTTCAACTTTTGAAGCTTCTGAAGCTTTCGGTGGAAGCGTCAGCCAATCAAATCATATGCCAGTACAAGCTCTAGCTAATCAAACCGCTGCTTGTGTATCAGGGGCGGGAGATTCATGTGATTGGTTGTTGGTCGAGCTTCAGACACGCCCAGCTCCAAGCTTTTTTTGAAGCTGTAGTGTGGACGGGCCGTTAGTGTGTCTGCGTGTTGTTGCTGGGATGTTGGCAGTGAAAACAGTTGGTCGTCCAGTGTCACACCCAGATTCCTTACAGTCTGAGTCGGAGAAACCACAGAGGTGTCAATGTTAATAAGAAGGGTTTTTGATGTGAAAACTTTTCCCTGGTAGGAAAATCAGTTGGGTTTTGTTCAAGAAGTTCAGATCAAACTGTGTACTGGCATCCACTGAGATATGTCACCAAGACGAGCAGTGATTCGAGCAGTCCCCTGGGGTTCTGACCGGGAAAATTACGTAGTCAATTGATTCTCATCTGCCTCATTGTAATGGGATAAGCCAGGAGAGTGAATGACAAAGCCTAGTGAATTGGTGTATAAAAAATAAAATGGGTCCCAGGATGGTGCCCTGAGTGACCCCAGTGTTGACTTTAACAGGTTCTGACACTTTCCAAGTTACCCTGTAGCTGTGGTCTCTCAAGTGAGATGTGAGCAGGGAAACTACCTGAGACTTCCAGTTCTTGGAGAGTATAAATGAGGATATGGTGGTTCACTGTTGTAAACACATCAGAGAGGTCCAGAAGAATGACAACAAAGGGGTAACTCAGTGATGCTAGGAGGGCAGTCTCAGTTGATTATCCTGCCTTGAAAACAGACTGCTGCAGATCAAGAAGGTTGTTCTGATAAAGGTGAAAAGATAGTTGATTAATGACAATGCGATCAAGTGTTTTATAAAGAAATGGAGGATGAAAAACAGGTCTTATTATTATTATTAGAATTCCAAAGGGTTATCTTGTGTTTCTTTGGTCATCTTCTGTATCTTTTTTCAAAGCAATTGAAAACGGCTTAAAAAAGGGTTGAATTTAGATTGAAAGAAAGTGTTTTTGCTGCAGAGATAGAAAAAGTGGAAGAGAAGAGAAAAGATTGAAAGGTAAATGAGGTCATCAGATGCCTTGTCAGCACGCACAGTCAACCAGGGAGCCGGAGGGAACTGTCAAACCTTCCGTGAGGTGAGAGGACAGAGAGAATCCAGAAAGGAGCACAGTGGAGTGGTAGTGTTGGGGGGCATACGGCGAACAGGTACAGTATTAGAAGAGATTTGGTTGTCAGTTTTGGATAAGGGGATAGAGTAGGATATGAAAAATGTATCAGAGATGTGAAGCAGGGTTACAGAAAGGTTAGACATAGAGCTAATTCTGGTGAATATGAGGTCAAAGTGGTTGCCAGTTTGTGAGTAGGTGGGGATGGAGTCAGTAAGAGTACAACGTAGGTAAGCAAAAGTAATAAGTTATCTGATTCTCTGTCTGGATTTTGGAGTCTCTGAGAAGTGGAGGGCCAGTTTCAAGGATGTTACATCGGACTGGGAGTCTAACTCCTCTTGGAATTATGCCACAAATATACTGCTGAATTATTGATTAAAGGTGGGGTAGGTAAGTTTCAGAAACCGGCTCGAGTGCACTAAAATGTGAAAGTCCACAGCCGAAAAGAATCCGCCCCTTCCTTCAGACTTCCTTACAGAGCACCTCCTCCAACACACATGAACGCGCACATGACGTCAGCAGACTGGTGAAAGTGGCCGCCTGTTGCTGGCGAGTCATTGAAGTACTGCTGCAATGAACGCCCAATGACGGCACGCCCAATGAGGGCACGAGATACATTTGTGCGTGCACGAGATGGAAGGCTGACAGACAGGGCGGCAATCCAATCCGTTTAGCCGGCCCGGCTAAAGAGCATTCCATGGAATATAACAAAAAGTGTATCTCGAGCCGGTTTCTGAAACTTACCTACCCCACCTTTAAGTTGTGTTATTTTTGGAGTAAGTTGAAGAAAGTTCAAATCTTTTGTTAATTAAAATCCCTTTATTGATGTTCGATCTTCATTAGCTTATTGTTTTGGATTGTGTGTGTCCCTCCGCCACTACACTGTCACTACACTGTCACTACACTCAGCAGGTAGAGCAGTTTGTGTTCAAAATAGTAAACCCCGGTAGCCCTCACTACAGTATGACCCATTTTCTACACTTTTCTGGATCAACAGCAGACATTAACATTTCCATTGAATAAAGTCCACTTGCATATTGTGAAGCTTCTAATAGTCTTCAGAATCAGGATGTTCAGTTCTCACGGTTTATCAACTTCAATCTTTTTGGTTTTAATTATTCATCCATTATGCTTTTATGATCCTAAAATGGCTCAGAATAAAGTCCAATTAAAGCATCCACAGTTCTATGACGATTGATCATGACAACGTCAGAAAGGAAAGGGTGATTCAGTTGACCTGGAGAATGCTGCACTCCTGCTACATGTTCTGATTATTGTGTGTGTGTTGAGTGTGTATCTTTATCTGTCATGTAGGATGAGTTCCATCCGTTCATTGAGGCTCTGCTGCCCCAGGTCCGTGCCTTCGCCTACACATGGTTCAACCTCCAGGCCAGAAAAAGGAAGTACTTCAAAAAACATGAGAAAAGGATGACTAAAGAAGAGGAGAGAGCAGTGAAAGACGAACTGCTGGGGGAGAAGGCAGAGGTGGGATGGATAGTAGAAATGTGATAATTACGGATTCATGGCAAACCTTTTTTTTGTTCAGTTGTTTGTATTGACTGCTTTTACAATGTCATTGCGATCGTAGGTGAAACAGAAGTGGGCCAGCCGTCTTTTGGCCAAGCTCAGAAAGGACATTAGACCCGAATGCAGAGAAGACTTTGTCCTGTCAATCACTGGGAAGAAAGCTGCGTGCTGTGTCCTGTCCAATCCGGACCAGAAAGGCAAAATGAGACGCATAGACTGTCTCCGACAAGCTGACAAGGTAAACTGAATTAGTATTTCAATTCTGTATGGTTGGTAAACGCAATCGAACCTCAACTATGCATTGTTTTTTTCTTCTTTGGCACGAAGCTTTCTCTAATGATATTGATAGTAAAAAGGGTTAAATCATAATGGTTTTATCAACAAGATGTTTGTGTCATAAAGGTAGAATTTTCCATATGTTGGATGTTTTAGAATAAGGGGTTTATTTTTCAATATGGCATTAAACAGTGAGCTAATTGGAGCAATATGTGTAAAACACTGCTCAAACGTTTATGATTGAGATTAAAGTGTGTTTGAATGTTTCACTGTTAGTGTCTGAGTCTGTAACACACCATGTCATTGATTTATTATTAAGGAAAGACATCTGGGGCCAATGCATAAACCATCTGTATGCACAAATAGCATGCAAACACATGAGTGGTATTTATTAAGGGATATGTGTCACCTCCCACAGATTTCAAAACCAGCCGTGGCTATAATAAGGTGAACATGAAAATCATGGTACCCTTATAATAAACGGTTACAATGTAATCTTGTTTTGACAATTCCCACATAGTTCTCTAAAATGTCCAACATTGTGTTACACTGTCTGAAAACTATAACATAGTTCAAACCATTTAAGGATAATGGTTAGCTGTTTGTCAGGTTTTCCTCATGTTCCCTATATTCCATATTACAGACATATGTGTCAGCTTCAAGGTCTCACACACAAACACAAGTGTCTTCATGTATCCTTCTGTAAATGACATCATCCTCTTTTCTGACATATAATTAAATAATACATTCACAGTCAAACATATGATGAGCAGTATAGTCCACGTTTAGAGTGATCCAGCATGCTTTACTCCACTGCTACACCCAGCCTGCAGTTTTCTGTCAGTACTGATGGGTTGTCTTTCCAAAGGTTTGGAGGTTGGACCTAGTGATGGTCATCCTGTTTAAAGGAATCCCGTTGGAAAGCACAGACGGAGAGCGGCTGGTTAAGGGAGGCCATTGCTCCAACCCAATCCTCTGCGTCCAGCCCAGACACATTGCTGTCTCCGTCAAAGAGCTGGACCTCTACCTCGCTTACTACGTACAGGAGAGAGGTATGAACCTACACACACTTTCACCAGACTGTGCTATCTATCTTCTTTTGTTAAGACACATTCTGATCCCAAAATGGCTCTCTAAATGAAATACAACCAAACAAAAATTCTCCCATGTTTGTATGTAAGTGTAGGCTTAGAATTTGCTTAAACTTTGTAGCACTAGTCCAACATTTGAAAAAAATGTATAAATCTCAATGGATACGGAACAAAACTTTGTTAGATTAATATAATGTCAGTTAGTCAGTAATGTAGTATAAAGTGAAGTCAAATAGTACAAGTACATGATGTACAGATACATGCAGTATATATTGTGGTATCATATTACAAGTATATGTAGTGTAGATGCATGCAGTATATAGTGTAGTAAAATGTAGTCAAGATAATTTAAGAATACAGTGTATTAAAAGATTACCAGAACATTTAGTAAAGATAATTGCAGGATATAGTGTAGAAATAATTGTGTAATACAGTTGTACCATTACATGTACATATATACTACCGAAGCATGCAATATATAGTGTAGTAAAATAAAACTTGTTGGCTTTAAGTAAAATATGCTTTCCCGATGCAGCAATGGTTGGACTGATCAAACACAGTAAAGGTTAACTCTAGTCGTATTATAACACCTCACTGGGAACTCACTGTACAACATTGTTCCAAAAATAACTTTCCTATGTAGAAGAGAAAGTCAAAATATGTATGACACCCACATCCTGCAGTCTTTCGTGGCAAATTAGGAAATTATGAGACATCTGGCTGGATGGGGAAATGATGACCTGTCTTTGTTCAGACATACGCTCTGGGCTCTTGTGTTATGGATTGTGTTATGTGCTGTCTTCTTGTGACTTATAGAGAGAGACCCCCTGGGACGCTATTGGGGTCCCTGTTAATTTGAATGTTTGTGTTCTTGTGTGCAGAATTTTCTAACCAACCTAAATGTTTTTAATTGCTGCTCTTTCAATGTTCATCACTGATAAGAAGCTGTGCTTGGTTTCAGAAGCCACATCATAGATTTTCACCAAAGTAGGCTTGTAACTACAGAAATAAGGCAACAAACCTCATTGATAGTGTCTTCAGTGAAGGAGACTCACATTCTCTTAAATAGCCCTCTCATATTAAAAACACATTTAGCACAGGCTGGAAAAACTGGGAGGGGTTGCTTTTGGGCAGTGTTAACTTTTATAAAATAATACAAAGGGAAAATAAAATAATTATATAAATATGAATTTGTGTCATTACAATACATCTGTTTACATGCACTGGACATACAATTAAGAATAATATTATAATGTATATCAGAGGCATAGGGATTAGTGCATCAGATTTCTCAAATATAACTTCTAGACCATTCCAGGGTTTTAGATTAACCAATTAACAAAAAAACAACACATACAAAAGAGATGTATAAAATTACCTCCACCTTTACATTCTGTTACATCAGTGGGTTGTGCTCTGGAAGTTTGCCCCCACACATTATCACTCTGCTACAGGGAAAACACTGGAGCTGTCTGTATTTCTTTAGACCAATCACTATCTTCCTGGGCGGCTCTTAGCACAGGATGCAGCCAGTGGAGGAGGTGGAGGAGGAGGAGGAGGAGGAGGAGAGTGCTGCCTGAGATACGTGGACTATGGCAGGCTTATAGCCATAGTGTACATCTGGGGAGTCAGAGTAGGAAGGTCATCACTGCTTTTCTTTGTAAATTAGATGCAGAATTTCCCGTACACTGGTATTTATGCTTTTGTCATTCTTTACAGGTGTCGAAGAAGTTCTTGGTCACCAGTTAGCCTGAAGTGTGGATTGATTATTGAAGTGTGTTCCCTGATGGCACCTGAGCCATTGCAAAAAAGGCCTATCATTTTCATTTTTGATAGATAAGCCCACTGATTCACTGCCAGAGTAAGAAGGGCAGTGAAGAATCCAGACAGAAAGCAAAACACATACATTATATTATAACGTCATAATTGAACCAAGAAAGGGTATTTAAGGCTAAACTCCACATCTCGGAGCTGAGAGCACAAACAAGAGGAGAGGCAGCAGACGCATGACAGGAGGAGTGCAAACAAAAAAGAGGAAGAGGACCCCTTCAATAGCTTTCAGGGACACGTTTATGTTTGACCATGAGGATATGGAGAAGCTTCAGTGTAGTTGAACTCTTAATCAGATGTCTTTTGACTAAATCTACGTCATTATTGAGTTGGACATTTTTTCCTCTTTTAGTTTAACTAACTATGAAGTGGACTCAGAACATAAACTCCCATCTCCTCTGAGGTGCAAGACCACCTCCCTACACTTTTGGTTTGGACTGGAGAACATCCTCAAAAAACAGAGTTCCTCCTCTGGGGAGCATGAATGTGTTCAGAAAGCAGCAATCGGTTAATAGGATATACTATCCTTAAGGTGGCGCAAAAAGAAAGCTGATGAAATGTTCAAGGACATGATTGTTCATGGAGAAAAACAGATTTGCGGTTATTCTATGGCTCTAAGCATCTACTTAAATAGTTGTTGAGATAATTGAGTCTGGAACCAAATGCTGTATTGAGCGTCAGACACTTTTGTAGAAAGAATAAAATGAGGATTTATCCATCTGGGACCAGTAAATCCAGCCATATTTCCCTGATTTCTAGCCAGCAGTTTTATGTTTATTGTCATGAGATCTGTTTTTTCATTTGCTCTCTATGATAATCACCCTCTTGGAGCCACGATTATCCATATCTGAGTTCAGATGCAGAGAATCTCTCAGAAGCTTCTTTATGGCATGGCATGGCTCTAAGAAATCCTTCAAGGCCTGCGAATGTTTTAATGATACTCGTAGCTGCTGCTCTTTCTCATTGGTCGGTTGATACCACTTGTATAAATATGGTTAATGCAGCTACGAGTTCAAAAACAGAGAAAGAACGCAGCGTTCACATCTGGTTTGTATATTGTGGCTTCAGGAGCTGAAGGAGTGTCACTCTGCAGTGTAACCTTGCACAGACACAACTCCAGCTTATATGACTGAACGGAATAGCGGTCGGAAGATACCAGACCTTTCTGAACCAAAGGAATGCTGATTGGTTCTGGGTTTGAAAGAGCGTTCATGCACGTTCCCTCAACACTTGCTCTACTTATGGTGGAAACCAGTGTGCTCCCATGCTCGGCTCATGGAAGTCTGCACATATTGTGTCGGCAGAGTTAGAAGATGTGAGTGTCGTGCAGTTGTAAAGTGGGTTGGTATTTAGACTATGTGTTCTACATATTGGTGACAGTAACTTCTAAAGGACAACTCAATGATATTCCAATGATTTCTAGCCATTTTCTTCCATGTTTATATTGAAGATACCAAAAAGGAAAACTTTTTTTTGACAAAGGGTCACAAGGTCATCAGATATCACCAAAATATCATAACATAACTACACATAATTATACTCAGCAAGACTTTGAGAAAGGACTTTGCCTTAAGTAGACTTGATCACTGCAACTGTGTCTTTACAGACTTAAACAAAAAGAGTAGAACACGTCCCGCCAGTTCACAGATCTCTGCACTGGCTTAGAGTATCACAATACATGTGTGACATGTTCATCAGTGTATACATGTATGTATGTGATCATCAGGGACAGGGTACTAATTGTTCCCGGGGTCAGAACCCGACGCGCAGAGGCAGCTTTCAGTTTCTATACTCCACAGATCTGGAATAAACTTCCAGAATATCTGAATTCTGCCTCAAGCCCTTTTCTTTTGAAATCAAGTCTAAAAACCTTAATGTTTACAGCTGCTTTTCCAGATGTCTTTTAACAACATTTGATTTGTATAGTTCTGCAACTCTTGCAGCATGCAACTGTTTTTACAATGTCAACTGTTAACTACCTTCTATCTGAATTGTTTTCTTTTCCCTTTGGTTTATTTTAGATATATTTGTGCTGTCTGAAATATACTATAAACATATACTAGCCTTAACCGTAAAGGGTTAAACCATAAAGCTTATTTTAGGGTTTATATTTGTATGTTGTGCTTCATCTGGGACATGTTAACATGTTTCAATGTTCAAAAACGTATTTATTTTCTCATACTTTTTTCTTTTCACCCTCTGTCTGACACCAGAGCCCAGTCTGCTCTGATTCGTCAACCGCTTAGAGATGTCCCACAAACTTTCACTGAAAGTAGCCATTAGGCGCTTTCACACTGCGGTACTTTTCCCACAAAGGTTCATGTGAACTTAGTTCATGTGAACTCTTTTATCGCGTTCACACCAAAAAGAGCCGGTACTAAAATTAGTTCATGTGAACCTTTTTACCCCCTCGAAAGTCCGAACGGCTCTTTTGTGAGAAAAGAGCTAAATTTCTGATTGGCTGGAAGGATTACAAACCACGCCCCGCAAAACTCCCAAAAAGTTTTGTGAAGCCGCCATTTTATTATCCTCGCATTAGCATTATTAGCATTAGCATTAGCCCAGCGCAGAAACGCAGAGAGACTAACTTATGGCAACACAAAATAAAACATGGGAGTGGTGGAGATGAGGAGGTGTCGGCGTTCTGGCGATTTACTCGGAAGGCTTCAGTAGAAGCTGCTGGGAGTCCCAGCAGCTTCTACTGAAGCCAGTCCCCAACTCCGGGGACTTCCGGCCGGGGACTTTGGGCGGCAGTATACGCCGTGAAGTGGTTTGCGGCCTGCCAGTAAACCCAAAGCAGAAGAAGAAGAAGTGACGTCAGCGGCTTCATTTGCCTAATCCACCCCCAGGGACTTTTTCCAGTGTGAACGCGATCTGTACTTAGTTCATGCGAACTAAAGAGTTCACATGAACCTTTGTGGGAAAAGTACCGCAGTGTGAAAGCGCCTAATAATAATGCTTTTGCAGGTTTTACAGCTGTCAAAATGTCCACCCTGACAATGATCTATTCTTAATGTATTGTTATGCCCTGCCCTCTACTGGCATACAGTGTGTACAACACTTGATTAGCATGACACTGTTTATATGTATCCATCAGCAGAGTCTGCCTGCTGCTGCAGCACTGTAACTGTTGTTAAGGAAGGGCCCCAGGTCCATACACATTGTCAGACTGTGGAGCTTCTTTACACGTCCCGGTCCTGCACATGGTATGCCTAAATGTACCAGTAGACTGCCAAGAATGCAAGTGTAAGGATTGTATGTTGGATTGTCACTGTTGTTAATTGCGGGTGTATGTGTGCTGTGTGGAGATGTTTGTCATAATGGGGTAATTAAAATTGCACACATCCTAATCACAAGTTTTGTCTGTGACAGAGCATAACAACGTAGCGTACTGAGACTGCGGTTAAAGATTCAAACGTTTAGGACAGACATCCCCCCATTAGCACTGTCAGTGGCTACATTCTTGAGACAAGGAGACATACTGGCTAACATTTGAAACAATTTCCCAGTCTGGGATCAATTAAGTATATCTAATCTAATCTAAACTAAACCTGGATAGATGAGGGGCAGTGTCCTTCACTATTGATGCCTATTTAAATCTCTTTCTTTCTGACTGTTAATATGGTAGCTGATTTATCGTTACCTTAAAGTGTTTAAATAAGTGAAATCTCCCTCTCTCTCCAGAAGCAGAGCAGAGCAGCAGTCCCAGTCGAACAGGAGTGGGTTCTGATCAGGAGGACAGCCGAACAACCACCATGGGTAATGTTGAGGCTCTTAATTATTACAGAAATATCAGTACACCTGGTTACACAAAAGGTTATGTTTTGTTGGTCCTTTTTTTACACAAGACCAATGGTGAAATGTAAATATCATTTGTGTATTTTCTGAAGTCTCTAAAATGATTACAGAATACTTCTGTACCATTTAGATCAGATTCTGAAATGGATCATATTATATTTTAAAACCAAAGTATTTCTACTTTTGCTTAAGTAAAGGATCTCAGCTCTTCTTCCACCTCCACCTGCCTAAGACATAAAAAGACAGTCAGAAGTCGATGCACAGGTGTCAGATGATAGAACCATCAGTTATGCAGACATTTGCCGTAACTATGATACACTAGTTCCTATAAGGACCACTGCAGTTGGATTGTCATATGGTTTTTCTAAATACTATTACATTTGTTTCAAAGAATATATTGTGCATAGCGAGATAATTGAAACATCACACGTGTCTAAATGCTGCTGTGTTTCCACAGAGGGTCCAGAGTTCCAGGACAGTTTTGTGACATCAGGAGTTTTCAGTGTCAATGAGCTCGTCCAGGTATCAAGAAGTAAGTGTCATCCACAAACAAATATTTGCGAACAAATATTGCGCTTTCTGATATTTTGGACATTGCACTTGTCCATTTTTATATATCGGTATCAATTCTATTAATTGTGCAGCCTTAATCTGAGTTTTTGTCTAATTATATTTCTTATCTGGATAATGAACATTTGATTTGTTACACACTCAAACAAGGAGGGAGAAAAGCAAGAAAATGCAATATAAAAAGAGAGCAGATGAACTGATGTGTGTGTGTGTGTGTGTGTGTGTGTGTGTGTGTGTGTGTGTGTGTGTGTGTGTGTGTGTGTGTGTGTGTGTGTGTGTGTGTGTGTGTGTGTGTGTGTGTGTGTGTGTGTGTGTGTGTGTGGTGTGTGTGTGTGTGTGTGTGTGTGTGTGTGTGTGTGTGTGTGTGTGTGTGTGTGTGTGTGTGTGTAGCTCCAGTAGTCACAGGAGTTGGACCTAGTTTCTCTATGGGGGAGCTCCAGGGTCATCTGGCCTACGATCTGAACCAGTCTGTCAACCAGCCAGTCAGCCTCAGACGATCACTGGCCAGTACCTCATCCAGCGGGTAACACACACACACACACACACACACACACACACACACACACACACACACACACACACACACACACACACACCACACACACACACCACCACACACACCACACACACACACACCACACACACACACACCACACACACACACCACACACACACACACACACACACACACACACACCTCACACAGTTAAAAAAAACATGTATGTTTATCTGCAGGAGTAAGCGCCATAAGTCTGGCTCTATGGAGGAAGAGGCTGACAGTCCGGGGGGCGAGTACTACCACTCCCCTTCCTCTCCCGCCAGCAGCTCCAGGAACTGGACTGATGACATGGAAGGAGGTAACAGACGTATAGTGTCCAGTGTCTGTACGTGGAGACATGAATGTAATTATAACAGCTAATTATTATTAATTACTCAAATCATTGTTCAACACCCTCTCTATGAACAGCAGGTGCACTTGTATTGAGCTCTATCAATGAAATGCACTTGACTCTGTATTGTGTAGCACTTGAATAAAAGACAACAGCAGGCGTACTCTTTTTGATTCTGTTAATTCTCAAAGATTCACTTCAAAGTTCCATGCCATTATACTTGAGTTAGTCCCTGTAAACCATGGCCTCTCGTGGTTCATTGCTTACATATATGAGAATATAACATTAGAATCTGTGGTATTCATTTAAGGAACTGAAACTACACTTATTCCAGCCAAACTACACACAAGAGTCATTCTCTGACACTGACCAAAGATGGAGGTTGTGGTTATGGCTGTTGTCACTAACCTCCCAATGTTTGACAGTAGAGAGCAGACAGCTTAATGCTTACAAACTAATACAGTGTGTAGAGTTACAGCACACTGGTCAGAATTTTGATAGAGCTCATAAATCAATTTAGCACATTCTCTTAATAGTCGTTAAGATAGCGTCATGGTGATCTGCTTTTAAATTGTTTTATTATGTGTTTATTGACATGTTTTCAACATTGGAGCTAAGGCCAAAGTCCAAGAAGTGATTCATTTCAAGTGTCACTGTCATGAACTGCCATGAATTATGAATATGTGCAGGAACTAAAGAATAAGTCCCACATGTTCATGTTTTAGGTCTATCTCCACCAGTGAAGAAGGCAGAGCTGGACAACCCCTCTCCCCAGGAAGACTCACCAAGAATGGGTTCCTTCACTCAGCACCATCGGCCAGTCATAGCTGTTCACAGTGGTCAGTAACACACATACATAAATACTGTATATTTATATATAATTTACTTAGAACAGCATGTCGTTTACCATATTGTTCCTTCTCTCCCTCTTCTTTTTTCTGTCCAGGTCTTTCACGGAGTCCCCACCCCTCCTCATCTATACATTTTCCACCTTCCTCCTACTTCCCCCACGGAGCAATCCGCTATCCTCCTCACCTGACCCAGGACCCCCTCAAAGATCTGGTGTCATTGGCCTGCAACCCTGCCAATCAAACCCCCAGCTCAGTGAGTACAAGCAGTCAAAAGAACAACAACTTTAGCAGGCTAACAGCTAGCGTTAGACAGATGACTGCATGCGAGAGTCCAAAACCACTCTGGTTATGTACATGATCCAATACGAGCTAGCTGCAGTGCCATAAGTTTCAATTGCAGCAACAGCCATGTGCATTATCTACAGACAAAGAAAGTAACAGTTGATACAATTTTGACAGAAGTTCAAACGTTATTATAAAAGAAAATGAAACTCATTTTGAAGACTACCTGAAAAAAGTCTGCAATAGTGAATGTCTTTTTCACATTGTAAGTCAATGGGAAAAAGTATTTTTGGGCTCAATGGTTAGTTGTAGTACCACCATTTGCTACTACAATGCCTGGGGGCTTGGTCAGGGCAGCTCCACTTCTATATATTTTTGTCTGAGGTCTGACTGGCACTACTATCACCTCTATAGGAACATGGTGTATTACAAGACAGGACAGTCCTGGGCTAGAACGATTAGCATGCTAATTTCAATAGATGTCTTTGCAACACAATATATAGGAGTATAGACATAATGTCAACACTGTAATGTTTTCACATTCTGTTAATGATTTGAGGTTATTTTGTTCTTACATATTCCATCTTTATAGTACATCAGTGATTCAACACATTTCCAATATGAATGTAACTGTCAGTGTGTATTTGTTACTTTTCCAGCTGAATGGCAGCAACCAGGTAAAAGTGCCCAGTCACTACATCACCTCTCAGATGTTGGCACCAACTGGACCAGCACCCTCCCTGGCTCCTCCCCCATCCTCCCTCCCCAGGCCGACCCTGCCTGCGGAGTCAAAGGCTACCACCACCTCCTCTGATGGGGGAGCAAACTCCCCCACATCACCCAGTAAGTGTTCAAAACAAACTCCGGTTGGCAGTATTGTTGTGTGGCATGGCAAATGAAGTACGGCTATAGATGAATGAGTGAATGTTTGTTTCACCTGATGAGCAAGTGTATAAAAGAATCTGCTACCATTGTATACTAGTGTGTGTGAATGCTGACTAGGGTAAAAGCATTTTGAGTGGTCGCAAAAAGTAGAAATGTTGTAATAAAACAGTTATAGAAATATGCAATTTGTGTATTACCTTATTAATAGTAGTTGTAAATCAACAAATGACATATGAAGTAACAGCCCAACAATGAACGAGTTAACCTGCCAGTATGATCCAAACTAATATATCCAGTTTGATATAGTAATTTATTCCATATCAAAATGTTAAAAGACATGTTTCCTCATTATAATAGCCAAGGCAATACTTATTTTGTTTGTCTCACTTCGTCAGAAGAAATGACTTCCTGTTGACATAATGGCTCACTTATGGACTGCAGTTGTTACAAAATAAAGCACCCCCACTGTGATTATCACGGTGATGAACGTTTCATTAAAATATTTTCTATCTGTACTGTAAGAGACTCTTTTTTATATGGAAATACATATTTGTATTTATAGATATATAAACTATTTAAACATATATATATATACTGTATGCTAAATACAGTAAATATTATAAATATCATATATTACATTCACTTAGAATGCCATTGTGCATTGTAAATGTATGACTTTAATTAATTGAATGTGGTAATCTGTGTGAACACAGCACTGGTTGGATTTCTAGAGTCCACCAACGTTAGATGATTATCAAACACATTTCAATAAATCAATTGAAACTGAGTGGATTACTGTATCCCTAACAATGTAGTTAGTCACCAGTTGTAGCTCCTTTGTGATATGGACACATTCTCTAGTACTGCCTCATGTAACTTTACAAGTGACATGGAACTATATAGAGACAGTATGAGACTGATGTTGTTAACGTAAATGCCCTCAGCATACTCGGCCCCTGGGACACCCCCTGCCAATCGCACCTCCTTCGTTGGAGTCACCCCCCGAGACCCAGGTGGACTCTACCAAGCCCAGGTTAGTATGGTTAATTTGACATTGGCAAGCGCAGAATGGAAACCCCTACCATTAGAGATTTGAGAACCTCCAGGATGTGTTAAAGCTATATACGATTTCCCGAGCATTAATATTTCAGCATATTAATTAATCTTAATACTACACCTAGAAAATCAGGGAAACAACTTTGACATTGTTTTAGCACCAAGCACCATTAATGTAGACCCAAATAAATACATGAGCTACGGCCTTAGTGAATTGGAAATACAACTAGGTTGTCAGGGATGTTTTATGTGAATGAAATCCAATCTCAGTTTCACTTAATTTATATTGATAGGCGAATGAGGTTGAACAAAAAATTGGTTGCAAATATCAGCCGGCATTTTTCCAATTTGGTGAAACCGACTCCCGAACTGGAAATTATAAAAAATTGACGTCACCACGTAAAATGTTTCTGCTGAAGGCTAACAGGTTCATTGCATGTCACACTCAAATGAGTCTAATAACCCTAACCCTAACCCTAATCTGTGTCAAACTGTTTGATTGTGATTGCAGAGGCAGTCTATGCCTGCCTGATGAATGGTTGCTCAACAATTTAAGTTAAATCCTGGCCAAAAGTTTTGAACCTGAACTTTAAAAAATACAATTATGTATTCAAACGAAAAACAAGTATTTGAAACCTTTTTTGAGGGTGATTTGATTCAGTTAAGCAATCTTTTTGATTACATTTTTTATTTCACTTTTTATTTAAAAATAGCTTGAGTCATAACACGGCTGTTGGATTTACAGGTACAGTAGGAGCCAACTGGCGCACCTGATTTAAATTTTAAAAAATGTGTTCATGCAGCGGTTCCGCCGGAAGGTAAACAGTTTTTGACACACACACACACACACACACACACACACACACACACACACACACACACACACACACACACACACACACACACACACACACACACACACACACACACACACACACACACACACACACACCCATACGCTGGCCATAATGTCTCGCTGCCGAAGCTTAGTTGTTGTGTTTAGAATTTCATGTTTTGTATGCTGATTGGAAAGAACAACAGTTCAAATGGAAATACATGGACTGGGTGTTCATTGGAACCTTCATACCGGACTTATTTATTCATCAGACCAGGTAATGAGTGGGTCAATCATGTCTACAAAGCACCTCAGTGGCTTAAAGTGTTGGACTAGCCTCTACAATAAAGGCAAAAACCGTTTACCTTAGATCAGACTTGGAACCTGTGCACAACCATACAAGTTCCTTATATCCTTATATCAGCAGGGCTAACTGGATCCTACACAACAGCCCCTCATTTTAAATAGTATTTTAACAATGCCAGGGTTAGCCACTGTATTCTGAATCAATTGGTTGGTCTGGAGTTCACTTAGTCAAACCTTGCTCTTAAATTCATGACACCTTCAAAGCTTTTGGTTTTGGAAGCTGTAACTTAAGTGAACGTGTAGATGTTCAAACACTACAGAAGCAAATGAAGGATATGTTCATGATGTAATTGAATTGATTGTCCTGACAGTTGAATGGGTTATTACATTTAGGGGTTAACAGTGTGGTTAACAGACCTGTGGGTCATTGTTCTGTAGGGCTCATGGCTGTTGGGTTAGACTAACAGTACACCTGTAGCTTAATGTGGTCTTTGCTACAGACTGAAGTAAATCAGCAAAGATGTATATTCTTCTAAAATGTTTGATAAAGTCAGTTAGCGCATCAGCTAGAAGTGAACGTTTATTTTGTCTTTGTCTCTCTTCCAGTCTTGGTATCTGGGCAACTGATGGACATGTGGAGGAGAGACGCTTGTCCTGGCAGTACAGTCCTAGAGGAAAGCAAACAATGCTGTCAAGACATCACAAGAGGGAAAATATATTCATCTTTGTAGAAGCATACACATATATAAATATAGTATATCTATATATGTGTATGGACCCAGAAGAGCCTGGTTGAAGAAGATGCTGCTCTCACTCACAGCCATGTGACACTCAATGGTTCTCACCGACGTGAGTTCCAAGTGAAAGAAAAGGAGTGATGTGGATGAACTGGACCAGAACCAGGCCCCCAAACAGCAGAACCTAAGAAGCCTGTTCCCAGGATGAGGCCTGTTTCCCTGCAATGGATTTCAGCCTTTACCCCTGAACCCTGGCTCTCTACACTCAACCCAATACAGGACCTCCTCCCTGGGACAGATAGACCTCACCCCCCCCTCAACACCCAGAATGCCCCTCTCCGCTGCAGGTGCTGCTTATAATATATGCAAATAAGCCTCTCCTTTTTTCTGAACCGACTAGAAAGAGAGCTCCTGTTGTTAATATGTAATGTTTCTTTTGCACTTTTTATTATTGCTATGAAAACTTAGAGTTGAGACAGAGCATTTCTTTCTCTCTTCCCACCTAAAGACAGAGGCTTTGTCTTTTTTATTGACAATCATCGGCCTGAAACCATTAAGTTGCTTTGCTAAGCTCATGTTTTTAAGACTGTTTGATTGTGCTTTTTTATCAGAAAAACAATGAGTAATAGTGGAATATAAGAGCTATATTCATGCCTCCTCCAACACGACACACAATGCTACAGTTGGACAGAGTTCAAACCCCCCGACATCCTGCTTCTTCCTTCCCTTCACACCTGATCATTCTGACAGAACTTTAGGCAGTTGCAACTGGCTGCTGAACTCATGTGTTTGAGACTGTAGCATGGTGTGTGTGTGTGTGTGTGTTTTGGTGTGTGTGTGTGTGTGTCAGGTTGTGGGACATCGGTTCCTGCATTTCCACACTCATCCCTGCTCTGTTTTGGGGAGCTGTGTTAGTGTCTCAGAGAACACGGTGTGGTTGGTTGATCGGAAAGAGACACATCACATGATTGACTTGATGATGTGGCATGTCACCGACTTAGCAGGCCGTAGCGTTTCCATGGTTATGGCAGCAGGTCATACCTTGAAGTGAGCACAATATCCAGGTTTGTTGTCCAGCTGTACAGAGTGGTGTTGACAGGACTGTGGAAATGGATAGGGTTAGGGTTATTGTTAGGGTTAGGCACAGTGCTTTGTCACCAGTCAAACCCTGATGGTTTAACAGTGGCAGCAGTCAACAGATCAAGCATTTCATACCAGAGTTTCCTTGCTCTCCTGTGTCCAACGCTGACACAATATTTGCATCAAGTGCTTTAATGGAGAAAAGCAATAACTTGGCTTTTCACATCTTAATATATTCAACTATCTTTTGAAACAAATGTAATATTTTTCATGCTGCATCTTATCTTTGAATCCTCTTCATCACTCTTAAGGTTAGCATTTATTAGAATCCAAACATGAATCACCATATAGCTCGTAGTTCATAGAACAACTCGTTCAGTCTGTGTGTAGAAAGAGAATTTAATTATGAATTAAATAATGTTTGACATTTGTCTGTAAAATTCAATGCAAATGTGCGCCCTGGCCTTTTGCTATCCCGCACATGATCTCTTTGGGGATAAAAACATTAAATATAATAGATTTTTAAGATGTAATGTTTTATAATCTGTGCCATATTTTAGTCTCCAAGGCTTTTCAACTACAGGGCAGTCTATTGAAATATGTTGCCGGGGATGTGGATCAGTGTTAAGGCGTGGGCAGATTGATCTCAAGTGTTTCTGAAGATGTTACGTAGAATCAGACTCGTCTCAGAAGTGGTTGCACACTGTCTTTGGAAAGATTAAAGGTTTTCTAATGTCAAGGACACATTTTTAAAGGTTCTAAAGGAGTAACGCTGCATTCACATGATACGCGATTTGCTCTTTGCCAACCACAAGGTTTGGCGCAAAGCCTGGAAGCTTGTTAAAGGGGCGCCATTATGCTTTTCTGGGTGTTCCCTCTCCTGTAGTGTTATAGGTTGTTGTGCATGTAAACGGTCTGCAAACGCTAAAATCCCCAAATTCCCCCCAGAGGGAGTTTCTCTTCCACACTCCCCCCCCCTGTCTGGAACGCCTCCATTTGACTCATTTGTTTACGACACAGTGACATCACTATGTAACATTCATGCTTAAATTGGCTGGCGCTCCAACACATTGTAGGTGATAGCCAGGCTAAGGGGCGGGACAGCTCTAAGCTTCTGACCAATAAAAACGGAGCCGGCCAGCTAACCAATCAGAGAAGTCTGGGCTCTGGTTTCAGACAGAATAAGACAAAAATAAAGAGCTTTTTGAACATTAAAGCATGTAAACATGTCAAAGTAGAGGCACAAAATACAACTATCAACCTGAAAATTAGAAGAATAAGGGCCCCTTTAAGTTTTCTGTCTAGTGTTATGTCCCCTGCTAGAGGTTAGCAGTATTCATGGTCATAGTTTAAATAATTTGAACTTTAAGCACAGCAGTCTGCGTACATTTTGAGCGGTGTGCAATGCCTAGGGTTGCTAGGTCATGCGCCACCACTCTTTGCGTAGAAACACAATGGCAACGTCAGCACAGAGACACGATTACCGTGTTTCATGTGAATGCAACTTAACACTCACAGACAGTTCAGAGAACATCAGCACACAGCCTGGGTGTGTTCGTACCACAGCTCCATTTCCCTCTCATATCTTTCCTTTCTCTTTGTTTTTTAGGATGTAAGTGTCAAACTGTGTTGGAACCGGTGTGATCTTTTTTGCTGACATTTTTTTCCACTTGCACGTGTGAAGGATTGGGTTTGCATTCTGATCACAAGTTGTCCTTTGCTTTTTCTTTCCCCAGGGTTAGGGTTTAGTGATTTTATATTGAAGGTGCTGATATGAGCAGGGCTTTGGTTAAAGTTGGCTTAAAGCTGATGTATAATGCATGGTGCTGCCCTGGTGTCTGTGTTGACCTAATGAATGCATGGCTCAAACTGATGATACCTCTCCCTCTCTGCCCTGCCCCCCCCCCCCCCCCCCCCCCCCCCCCCCCCCCCCCCCCTTCCTCCCTCAGACAGCAGTGGATCGAAGGGCTGTCTATTTCTTTACCCTTTAATAATAGCCCTGTTATTATACTTCTATTTTGCACGATATTTCATAAAACACATTATGTGCCTTGCCTTTAGTTAAAGAACAATAATACATTATATAAAGTGATTATACTTTTCATGGTACAGCTGGTAGCACTTATAAAACAAAGAAAAAAAGCTGCATGTGTGGTTGCTTGACATTAACCAGTGTAGCAGTGTATTAAAGAAAGCTTTCTTTAGCTTCTGCGCCCAACTAAAGGCAGCACTGTTTGACAGTGGAAGGAAAAGTCCACATTTTGGGGATTACATGTGCCTGTTATCAGACTCAGAGTCACATGACTTGCCTCAGCCCGCACACAGTATGGACATGTTTAGCTCAGATAAACATTTTGCCGTTGCATTCAAGTACATCTTCCACTTTTCATCACTTCGCCACTGACAAGGGTCATAGAGCACTGTCCTGGTTCAAGGAGGCTGTATCAAATCTATAATCTGATCACATGACCCAAGAGAATTACTCAATGACAGATAAGCAAACTGAGATGTGTGAAAACTCAGAAAGTGGACACTAAGTTAAGTTCAACAATGAACTGGACACAGAAAGTTCTTATAGAAGATCTTTTTCTGGGTAAAACTAGAAAAAGCAACTGTAGCTCCAAAATTCATGGACTGTTCCTCTAAGTGTTGATTTTTCAAAGACATCCCCCCTCGATGATTTTGTTTTCATAGCTGATAATTATGCAAACCCATGGATAATATTTATTGCAGGGAAAAGTCTTTTACTATATTATGAATATTTTGTGGCCAAGCCACTGAATCCCATGTAAAGAAAACATGTTAAACACTCTGCAGCACTTACACCGTCCATTTGCCTGAATGGCGACTTTGATCATGTGACGAATCATGTGATAAGATACTGCTAAGATCATAGATGAGTTTGTGTTTAATATGGATGCATGCACTTAACACTATTGCTCTACTTGGCTTTTAGGTTATATTTGAGTTATTTCTTGAGTTTTTATTGTTATTATTTTGCTTTTAGCATTAGTTTTAAACAGAACAGTGTGTGTACAAATATGTACACTCGTAAAAAGGATACAAAGGATGTATAGAATGTTAGTGTGTCATGTTTTCTCTTAAGATGGTGGCCAAGCCGCACAATGAGGGACCCATGAAATGGGAAAGGTTTAGCCCTGAGAGGGATGATGAATGATGAAGGTGAGAATTGTAGATGGTGAGAATTGTAGATGGTGAGAATTGTAGATGGTGAGAATTGTAGATGGTGAGAATTGTAGATGGAGACAGACCATTTTGTAGTCAGTCTAAGTCAAAGTTACTAGAAAGTCACTAAACTAGAATCCATAGATCCACTCAGACTGCACTATCTGCTGTCACTGTTTAGATTCAAGTACACAGTGATAGACACTGAAGTCACGCTGATGGCAGCTGACAGCAACGTCCTCTCCCAGGACCAGGATCAAGTCCTAGATCAGATCCTAGGTCAGATTCTGGTTTAGGTCCTGGGTTAGATCCCCGATCAGATCCTAAGGTACACCCAACGTTAGATAGTGGATCACGTCCTGGGTCAGATACAAGGTCAGGTCCCGGATTATATCATAGATCAGATTCTGGGTCAGGTCCTGCGTCAGATTCTAGGTCAAATCCTTGGACAAGACCTGGGTCATGTCCTGGGTAGCATCCTAGTAACGTCCTGGGTCAGGTCCGAGATCAAATCCTAGGTCAGGTCCTGGGTCACATCCTAGGTTAGATTCTAGGTTAGGTCCAATATCTAATAAATACAGACATTTATAACATTATAAATAATATCTCGAAAAACAAAAGTGTGCTGAGTTGAGAATATTGTGCTCATCACATTGTGCTCTCCTCACTTTCTCCGCTCTATTCAAATATACCAGCATGTTAAGGACATGGAAAATGAAAAAACAAAACAAGCAGTGCCTATCATTTTACTGCAAGCTTTGAGTTATGTTGTATGCTGTGTTCAAGCACTACATGGTCATGTGACACACTCGTATGGTGCTCAGCCCTGGCCCGGGGAGGTGGGCTGTGCAGGTCCTGAGGTAACAAGCCATAAAACAACCCAAAGAGCTGAAGGAAATCTAGAGGAAACACTGACAGACTGTTCATAATGCTCGGTGGATTCACCATTCTTCATTTAGGCTGGCGTATGTTCAGGGACGGACATGTGTCCTATTTCTGCCTCCTTTCAGGATTACACTAGAAAAAGGCTGTCCTGTTCCAAATGCAGCTAAAAGATGTGGTGGTACACTTCACACAAGGCTACCAGAGCAGAACATTATTGATTTTTGTATACATTATTGCATCATACTGAGTTGTTACTTCACTACCTTGTCATGATTGTTGCTTTATCTTCTCTAGCTGTTATGGTTTGAGGTTCTGGATACGAATGAAAAACAACAGCCGGTCTGGACACTAAGGATCTCCTTTACTACAGTATGTTTCCCCCGCACATCTTTGTACCTATACAAATCTAAAATAGATTGCTGAAATGGGATTGGGCATTTGTTGAGTAGAGAAATAGCCAGAAGCAGATATATTCAAACGTAATCCCATCTATCATAGTGAAAACATATATGTAAATAACATCTTTAATCAACTATAAATTATGGGACACATAAATGGAGATGAATTTGTCATAAAGAAAAACGCATTGTTCAGCATCCTTTCAGCATTTAAAGTTCATTAAATACTGATGAATTGAGATCCAGCAGATACTTTACAATCTATCATTTGTTATCTTGAATATTTTATATTGGATAAAGTCTGTTATCGGTAAGTGATTATTTTCCATCACTTTGTTAAAGAGGCGCAGCCAATGCAACAGACTTGGTCCTCAGTGGTGTGGTGGCTATCTGCTAGCACCGCTAGTTAGAGGTTAACCTTATTAAGGCTGAACAACCTAAGGATAGATCAATGACCACAAACTATGAGACTGAAAAAGCAAGTGAGACCAAGATCCAAAGAAACGCCCACAAAAACATTTTTTACTATGTATTTTTCAGCAGTTCCTAATTTCATCCATAATATTTTGGACTGACTTTGGTTTGTGAACCTTTGTTGAGTGTTACTACCACACCTTTATGTTGCTTCAATTTGAAACCAGTGTATCCCATGCAGTGGTGTTAACAAATCAGTAGAACTGCTTGTAGTTTTTCTCTGATGGCAGGTTCGTGACAATATGCTCCGTAGGAATGATTTCTATGAAAACACCTCATCCAATATCTGTCAAATGTTCTAATTTGTGTTATCCTCTAGATTTGTCTTGACTCTGTGGTACTAACTAAGTGCTCTTCTGACCACTGTTAGCAGAGAATTACCAAAAATGTTATATCAAAATCATGCTTTACTTTGGGTTGGGGTATTGTAAGTGAATGGTAGTGTTGCTGTTTGTTAGCAGCTGATCAGCTCTGGCTGCATGAGAAAGAAAGGATATCTATACAGTTTCTGAGGGCTCTTTTCTATAAATTATTATTCATATTCAACCTGAAAGCCTCCTTCTTTTTGCTTTTTCTAAGTTGAATGTCTTTTTCTGTAATCAGACTCACAGCAGTTTGAAAACCTCTCTTTATTACCTAAAATCTGTTTTTTGATATTGTTTTCCTGACAGCGACGCCATATTGATTCCTTTGTTACCTGTACACCTGTTTACTTCTCCACTGTGCTGAAGACGGTTTATAATGAACAAAAACTTTACATTAGAATGCAGTTGCAATTTTTTAAGCATTTATTTCTCTAACTTTTCAGATACTATAATGGACTGCTTTGCTTGCTTTCAGAAATATATATCCCTTACATCAGAGAGAGCATAAAGCTTTCATCAGTTATTGCATGACTACAGTCCCCAAAGACCACAGCCCTTTTACATGAACTGTACATCAGGACATTATAATGGGAGTCTTTGGCAATCAAGAAAATCACTTCTTCCAATACCTCAAAACAATATAAAAAACTGAGAGTAAGTCTATTATTTTCCATATTGGAATAGTGTGAATTATCATACCACTAATACCACATCCTATAGTACTGTGTAAAGATATTAAAGTTATTTACCATAACTTTCTTGTCCAATTAAGTTGATATGCAATTACATTTCCCACCTGACAGCCAATCTGAAACACACAATAATGCATGACTTGCCATCCCAAAATAAGAAAATGATAGCATAGGTAGAGGCCAGTAGTGTTTCTTTTGTTCCAGATTGATGTTCACTGTGGAGAGGGCTGTAGCTCTGGACTGGATGTAGTTTGTAGCAGCTTGAACCTTTTCCTTTGGAAGATAATGTCAATAATCAACCTTAATTTGCATGACGTAAACTTTTCCTCTAAGGCTGCATTAAGACAGGGACTTCTGACAACTTTCTGTTCCTGTTTGTTTGACTGACAGCTGTCTGAACCAGTGTTTCTGCCCTAATGTTATTCTGCTGTGGGGGATACCAACATCTTTGATATGTCATTATAACCATACTTAGCCATTGCTATCAGCAAATGCTGATTATTCATTACTGGAAATGAGTATGTTTCCCTATGCAAAAATATACCATTAATAAACAAGCTATACCACAACTCAGCCAAATGGACCTCCTGTTTGTTCATTTGATACAGAGCGTTGCTCAAGTGTGTTCTGCACTCACACATTCATTCATATTACCTTTTTCTTTTGTAAGATGGGTCAGGGGACTTGATTCTTGGTCAAGTTTCTGATACCTAAAAGGTTGTTTATTGGCTATTTGTAACATTTGTGGGACAAGAGAAACAGTAATGATGTCTGGATAACTAGGTTACATTTTCATTAAACTCACAATCAAGCCCAGTTTGTCCAGCCAGTAGTTTATACAGATTAAGTTTATACATATTTTAAGTTAATATCACGCCTTGACAAACAGCAGAGCAGCTAGTTGATTGTGTGACAGACATCAGTTCAGGCTTAAAAAAAATAGCTCAATACAAACCAACTGCAGGTTATAATTAAAGGTAAACACATCATTTAACCTTTGTAATACTCCATCAAGCTATTTTATTAGTCACATGAAATCATACAAGATACCGCTTTAGAGAAATTGAAACTTCTTAAAGCACAAACCAACCCATTCCGATATTCCTGGATCCAGCAAAGACTTGTGAAATAAATGTCCATTTGGAACCCGATGCAGACACAGAGTCTGCCCAGCGCTTCATAATGGACATTGGACCATCAAGGACATTGAGATGACAGTAGTGTTTTTGGTAATCACAATGTTGTGGAAAACCGTTGTTAGCGCTCTCAAAGTGTGATTATGAATACACTACACACAGGTGATTGGAGGACATGGTGTGTATGCTGCTGCCTGCTGACCACACTATTTCCTGTCACCCCACCAAGCCAATATATTATGTTTTACTTGGCAAAATTCCATGTCCAACATGAAATCTTCAAAACACCAGTAAACAATACAATTTGAATAGATCCATCAAATTCCATAGTCACATTATGCAGCAAAATAAATGAATGGGTTCAGTGAAACAGTTGGTTTTTCATGTGAAAATGGCAGCACTTTGAATCTCTAACCAGCTTAAATGCTACAAGAAGTCAGGGATATGATTTTTTTATTAATCATTTTGAAAAAAAAGCTAAACCTGACCATCAAAAAATAGAAGTACTACAGTGTAGAATTACTCTGTTACATGTAAAGGTTCTGCAATAGAAATGATACTCAAGTAAAAGTAGAAAGGTATTGGCATCACAATGTACTTAAAGTAACCAAAGTAAAAGTAGTAATTGTGCAGATTGGTCCATTTCAGAGTAATATATATGATATGTTTGATATAATTATTGATTTATTAAAGTGTTATCAAAGCTGGTAAAGGTGCAGCTAGTTTGAATGAGCTTTATCAGGGCAGCTTGTGAATTTACTCCTGGTGTAACTAAAGTCTTATTTAAGAGTTGATTATATTTCACATCATTAATCAAAATCTGTTGAGTAACTAAAAGTATTAAATACATCTAATGGAGTAAAAGTACACGATTTACCTCGGAATTGTAGTGGAGTAGAAGTGCAAAGTAGCATAACATTGAAATACTTAAGTAAAGTACAAGTACCTCAACATTTTACCTAAGTACAGTACTTAAGTAAATCTACTTAGTTATTTATACCACTGCTGACCATGGTGAAAAATATGGAGTAGAGTCAAAAAGGTGAAATTCTTGAATAATGAAGAAACAGTCAAACAAGCACCAGCAACTAAGCTAAAAATCATGTTGCTGTTTCCTTTATGTGAAAGGATGGAGGTTCCACTCCAGCCGGTAGGCGGCGGTAAAGGCTTTATGTTTGCCGTTAAACAGCCGTTAAACATCAAGAAGGAGGACCGTTCCGGTTCTGTTTCCAGGGTCGTACAGTTGGAGGGTGAAAAGCGCCAAATCCAAAATATACTTCAGTAATAACAACAACAATGGGCCTTGTCCTAGTGAAGGAAATGCTAGCCTCCCAGTAAGAATAGTTAACCGCTTTATTAACGTTAACGTGTCAGTTTGTTCCCCGATAAAAGACTCGTTTATTAACAACATGGAGGAGCTGTTTTGCAAAGAGCTGCAGGTGAACGTGAGGTGCAGAGACTGCGAAGACAGGTGAGACGTTTTCATACACACCTGTCGATATAGCTACAGACGTTTTAACCTAACTCTTATAAAGATAAAGACGTTTAAACTTCTGTATCCTAACCTAGACGATGTAGCATTACTCTAAGCTTAGCTAGCTACCGGTGTTTTAACATAACAAACTTAAACCTATATTTCAGTTTATTGATATGACTCTGGTTTAGCTTCAGCTGTTTTAACACAACTCAAACCTAGCTAACGTTAGCTTCATATCTCAATCTAAAACATGTATTCATGTTGCAATACAAACATACTATTGTATGTAGAATAACGACTGTTAGTGTTACTACCAACAATATTACAGACACATTCATTCCGCCTACAGACGACTAGTCCTCCAGAACAGTGGTTCCCAACCTTTTTCCCCAAGAGCCCCCCCAAATGACTCCTGTTGGAAGTTGCGCCCCCCCACCCTCCCCCCCCCCACACACACACCACACACACACACACACACACACACACACACACACACACACACACACACACACACACACACACACACACACACACACACACACCGTTATTAAAGTTTAAAGTCTCAAAAATGCTACAACTACTGTCACAAACTGGATGAATGTGAAGTATGCTGTTAAAGGAGGATGAAAGTGTAATTAAGGATCACTATTGGAGTGATTTTGATGGTTGTTGGACTCAGGATTAATTCATTTGGATTCCCGCTGTATGAAGAAATTAAAGGACGGCGCGGAAGTGGAAACAATTCACAAAGCGATTAAACTGTTTAAAACACATGCTCAAAGTAAACCGGATTTGGCCGAAAAGTCGTAAATAATCTACAAAATGGAGGAGACCGATCTGATCGGAACAACTGTGACAAATAATCCAACTGAAACCGGCATGGACAATGACTATGTTTTTAAAATGCGTTTATCCAGACAAGCCCGGTTTGGACACTTTACAAGCAGAAGAAACATTTATATTAAAGAAAGAATTATAAATGTCTGTGTTTTTATGCCTATAGGCCTAATAGCTACTAACTTGAATTTGTATTCAAATTAATTAATCAATTTTTTATATTTTATTGTAATGTAGAGACAAGGCTTATAGTGACAATCATGTATTGCGTTACAATTCTATGTAAATAATAAAATAAAAAAAATAATGAAAAAAAAAGAAAAATATGATATTTGGCCTCAAATCATCTGAGGCCTGGCGCCCGTCCTGCGATCTTTGGCGCCCCTCCTGTGATCTTTGGCGCCCCTCCTGTGATCTTTGGCGCCCCCCAGGTTGGGAACCACTGCTCCAGAACATTCTGGAAATAATGAATTGAATGGGAATCGTTCATTTCAATTATCTTCAAATGAACAACCAAAACAAGTGCATGATATTGACTTAATGAAAATACAATATAATGGACAGACAAACAAATACAATATTTAACATCTAAGTTTGATCATTGTTTAGCTATGTATCTATTGTTCCACAAAGCTAAATCCTATTTCAATAGAGAGGCGAAGTCCCTCCCCTTCCGGTTGAGCTCCATGGGACCTTATTTCGGAAAAATTATGTATTGAAGTCAATGGAGAGAGAAAACTTATCTTTCGATCCCGTTTGAATTGTGCCACGAATTACACATATGATGTTTGTCAATCTTAAAAAATAGTTTCCATGTAAAAAAAAGTCACAGTTTGTCATAAAACTGTTGAAATATAAGACTATGAAAAATACGCAACTAGAAAGACTACACATCCCAGAGTCGCGTAAGTGATATCACAATTGTTTTCCTCTGCTAAATATAAGAGATAGTTAAGATAACTTTAACAAGATGCCTGTGTATTAGTACCAGGTTGTTATCATACCAGCAATGGGTCTTGCTCGTTCTTTCGCTTCCCGTCTGATGAAAGGACCAGGAGTGGCTGGATCAAGTTAGCTACCTAGCTAGTAGCAAGCACGTTAGTTATTACAGCCTTAGCCTTGTCATATTAGCCGGCCCTTAACATGAAGTAACATTAAGTAACCCAAAATGTTAAACAGTAAGAGTAGTAGGCATATTTCGTGAACCCTTTGAAGAGTACTGTCACACCGGTGTGATCATTCTATAATACACCATTTAAGCCCGGGGGAGAAAATGCTAACGCTACATTAGCATCGGCGATCTTTTTCTACTTCATGCTATCTGCACAAATGGTTGACATTAAACATTAAAAAGACCAGGCAGTTCAGAGAGAATCAAAGGAAGGCAGGCAGCTTTGCATGACATTCTTCTGGACGTGTTTCATTGTGGTGATTATTGAGGGTAGTCAATCCCTTGTTTAGCAAGACAGTAGTGACGGCCATCTTGGTGACGTGTGTTGTTGTGGGAGACCAGAGATGTAGTTCATTCAGCGTTTCACACAAAAAAATGTGTTACTTCACAGTTTTACGACACATTTTTTTGTTTTTGACTGGAAAAATTCTCTTTTAAAAATTGACAAACATCATATGTGAAATTTGTGGCACAATTCAAACGGGATCGAAAAGATAATCTTTCTCTCTCCATTGACTTCAATACATTATTTTTCCGAAATAAGGTCCCATGGAGGTCCACCGGAAGGGGAGGGACTTCACCACTCTATAGAAAACGTTTACTTAATATTGTAGAGACAAACATTTTTAAACCATAAACTATTGCATTTATATAATATTCCTTAAACCATTTTAGCTATATTATGCCATTCATATTAGCTAAATCTATTATTCTTAGACCAACCAGAAGCTTCTGAAATAAAAAGTAAAATAGAACATTCAACTTTTGACATTTGATCAGCATTTTTATGTTACTATGAATACATTTTAAATCCTCTACTAAATAGCTTAAGATTACCATGAACACTATGAAGTGAAAGTGTCAATAATATATATGTTTTGGCTTGTAGTACATGTCGCAGCATAAGAAATCAGATTGTTTAATAGATTTTTTTTACCAGTTTGCTGCTTAATTTTTACAGGAAAGCAAATATCCGAGTCACCATTGAGCTTCAGTTGACAAACAGTCCTGTGCACAAAAGGGTGAGTAAGAGTTTTTGCAGTTTTAATTGCATATTTTAGGACATATTGTCTCATATATAACTTTTTTGCTCATTTATAACATAAAAAAGAGGCACAGATTGCATCAAGGGGGAAATTAAATAGATTACTACTTATTAATTAACATTTTTCCAGCTTTCCTCTTATTTAATACAACAAGTTGCCTTATGCTGTAATAGTTGAACTCTGGTTCTGGTGATCTTACTTCATAGTTTACACCCCAGAACTCTGTTGACCTAACTTCCTGTTTTCGTTTCGTATTAGGATCTTCTTGTACGACTAACAGATGATTTGGATCCGTATTTTCTTTTTAACCTCTCCATATCAGAAGAAGATTTTCAAAGGTAAGTAATGATCCAATTCTAAAAATACAAAGGTCAGTGTTTGAATGCGTTGATCCTACTCTCACTGCTGTTTTCTTTATGTCTTATTGTTTGTGTAGTTTGAAAGTCCAGCAGGGTCTACTGATAGACTTTACGTCATTTCCTCAGAAGTTTATTGACCTGCTTAATCTTTGCTATTCTGAGCAAGCGTCCGAAAATCCAAGGTAACATCACACTGTTCAACTTAAGCTTCACATCATATATTGATTTGTCCTATTCATTCCATTCCAATATTAAACATAAACATTGAGATATAGACACAAATGCTGAGATGTTTTTATTACACTTTAAAGCTTGGTTTCAAATGCAGGTTTAATCTGTTGTTTGGCCAACATATTAATGATGTATATAATGAAGGTTTCAGTAAAACAACAGCAGCACACACCTCCCCCCCCCCCCCCCCCCCCCCAGGTTTCTTCTTCACTTGTCCACTCAGTCCCCAGTGCTTGAAGGCCCTGCCTCCTTCAGTGTTGTGGAGACGAATGCCTTCAAACACCTGAACCACCTGTCCCTGCGGCTCGTTCAAGGCTCTGACAAAGAGATCAAAGACTACCTGGCAGTGTGCCTCTCCTCCCTCAAGGTGGGCTCATTCAGCATTGTTCATCATCAATTAAATTAGGGCTGCACTATTTGGACCTGTTATTTTACTTAGGGTCTGTACCAAAAAAAGATTTTTTATTTGGTTAGTAATAAACGGATTGTAGGTCAGACCTTCGCTGCAGCATCATAAAACGTACACATATGGTGCTTTACAAAATATTGCGCTTACTGCGATTTGGATATTACACTATTCCTATTGTGATTACAATAACATTCCGATTAATTGTGCAGCCCTAAACGTAACTATAAGAGCCACATTTCATATTTATATCTGATCTAAAATTGTTGTTGGCATGAAAAAGTGTTGAATATTATATAATTGAATTACACTGTTTTTGTGTAGTTTTTTTATATTGAAATATAGTTGGTTTGTCTCTTTTTGCTATCTATCTGTTAGCTTTAAGTCTGCAGCTTTGGATCGTATCAAGTTTTAGTGAATTCATGCTAATTTTCAGGTTTATATTTGTATTTTGTCCTTCTACTGCAGTGGTTCTCAAAGTGGGGTGCGTGCCCCCCCAGGGGGGTGCAGAGGCATGACAGGGGGGGCGCGAGAGACCAGGAGGAAAAATGGTTATAAAAAAAAAAAAGATTTAAAAAAAAAAAATCATATTTTGAACAATTATTGATTCGTAAATAATATGATACAGTACTATTACGTCTGGGTCTCTGCGTTTCATTAAAGCTCGGCTCTGTGTGTGTGTGTGTGGAACGAGCCATTTTGTGTGCGAGAGAGATAGCGTACCGGAGATTGTTGTTGTTAGCTTCTGGTGCTAGCGAGCTACGCTAACAGATATAAGGAGTTTTTTCAACAACAAAGTGGAGGAGAGTCCTCTCCTGTCAGACTGAGAGGCTCAGTGAGCTAAAGGACCCTCTCAGTGTTATCTCAGTGGGTCTCAAACGTTTTGGTCACCATTAATGTAAACAATTATTTCCGAGGCACACGTTTATATGATAATTTATAGTTATAAAAAATAAGAGAATAAATGAAAAACAAGTATGAAATACTATATGACATTAAAAAATGAATAAAGTTTAAAAGGGGAGTGATTTGTAAAATATCCATAAAGAAAAAGTAAATCTGTTTACAGTTCTGTGTTGAGAGATGTATCCATAGATCTCTTCATGTTGCTCTCAAAGTGCACCAGATTGATGCTTTTAACTTCAATATTTAAAAATCTTCCCGGGGGAGCTTGCCCCCAGACCCCCATTTATGAGGTCCACACACCACCTATAAAAATAGCACTTTATCCCTGCTTACACCTATATGCCGTGAGCTGATTGTCGAGCCTTCACTGTAACAGTCGCGGGAACATTGTGTATATGCGTGGGGATTGTTGCAGTAGAACATTCCACCGTAGCGCCCGGTACATTAATGGGAAACCCTAAATGTTTGAGCACCCTCTATGAAACGTCAAGCTACCCCACAGCACCCCCAAAATAAATCTCTGGCGCCGCCACTGAGCCTGACTATTTGTGTTGGGGGGGCCGACTTTTTTTTTTCTCCAAAGGGGGGGCCTGACAGAAAAAGTTTGAGAACCAATGCTCTACTGTGACAAGTTGACATGCTTTAATGTTCAAAAGGCTCTGTTGTGATTGGCCAAGCGCTTAGAGATGTCCCGCCCCTTAGCCTATGACGTACAATATGTTGGAGCGCTAGCCAATAGAAGCGAGTGTGTTACATAGTAATTTTACTATGTAACGCAAGTAAACAAAAGGAGTCCAATGGAGGCGTTTCAGAGTGTGTGGGAGAGAAACTCCCTTGGGAATGTGAAACGGGAGATTTACAGCAGTTCAAGTCACCAAACGCACCACATATCCACTAGGGCTGTGCATCTTCACTGGTCTCACGATTCGATTACGATTATCCTGTCAACGATTCGATTCAATTCGATATCACGATTCATACCAATGCGTTGCATCCTCAATTTTCTATATTACTGCACATGGCTTATTTTTCATCAATGCATACGTGCAGTAAATACATATGAACTCTCTTTTTATTATTTAGAAAGTGCTTCAGAAATCAATAACATATATGTCTTGACATTCATTTATAAACCAAAATAAATGAATTGTATAAGTCTAGCCTCCCTATATCTGTGTGTGAAGTTGTTCCATCCTCAAAAACAAAAAAATAATGCTTCTGCAGTCTAGCTGCAGCTTCTAGCAACGGTCTTCTGTTAAAGAAAGGACACTGAATGTCCTGAATGTGGCATCACACACAGCAGACAACAGGAGTATTTACAATAGCATATACAAACAAAAATACTGCATGTGGGTGCACACTTACATTCTCTGTCTTACTGTTACATAAATCCCATGAATGTATGAGATTAAGTTAGCTTCATTATATCTCAGTGATTAAGTGAATAATAAAGTTTCTATCGGGTCACTATCATCCTGTCACTCATTATTTTCAGGGAGGGGGCGGGGCTTGGAGCAGCAGAGAGGAGACGGTGATCGCGGAAGCTTTTTTCCTCCTGCCTTCACAAACTTTACACACGTGTATATATAGTCTGAAAATTGCTAGAGGACATTCATACTCTGCAATCCAAGACTTAATTAAATCCACCAAAAACCTGACATGATTGTAACGTGATTATTTTTGAAAAACATAAATCTCTGAGCCGCAGCGACACGGAGTGATTCAGAGCGGGTCCTTCTGCTGTTGGTTCTGGACTGGTGGTGTTGTGTTGGTGGATAAAGCAGACTGCTCCATGTTGGTGTTGCTGTGCCGCTGTCACGTCTGTTCCCTGATCTCTGCGTCACCGACCGATTTGATATTAAAGTGACAGATAAAAAAAACGTTATAGTAAAGACGCGGCCGGAAAATCAGGAAGCAACGTTGCTACGCTATAACCGATTATCTTCCGTCACTGCATCGATACCGAATCGTCCGCATCGCAATGCATCGTAGAAACGATTATTTTCAACACCCCTAATATCCACCTGCCTGGAGCACTTTGAACAGCGCCTAGGGGCTAACTGTTAAACTAAACTGCCATCACAAATGTTATCTGTGTGTATCAGGCAGAGAAGCAGGCTGTGGAGATGAAGCTGAAGAAGACTGAAGATGATCTGACCAGGCAGCTGAACTATGCTCAACAGGTGAGCCTTTTCTCATTCATACGATCATGTTGAAACTTCATTTAAATGTCCAAAATGTTCCACATATTTCACTCACTGGATATCAGAAATTCCTTTAAAAATTCTGGACATTAACATTTTTAAAATGTCAATTATTTTAGGTTAATGTTAGTGGGAATCATTGTGCAGCTGTGGCTTAGGAGGCAACATGTCAAAGTGTCTTTGGTCAAGACACTTAATCCTAAATTAGCCACGATGAGCAACGATGTGTGAATGCTTGTCTCCTTAGCAGGTGGCACCGTGTATGGCAGTCTCTGTCTCTGTATGAATGGGTGAATGCTGACTTGTATATATAAAAATGCTCTGAGGGTTCACAAGGACTGAAAAAGCGCTGAATAAAAACTTTATTTTCACCACTTTTTGGAGTCATCTATGGCTCTAGCTCTTGGCACAGTGTAGGAGATGTCACTTGTATCTTGTGGCTAAATGAGCCTGCTGTTATTTTCAACCAGGTCTCATTTCTAATTGCTCTTGTTATCAAGAGCAAAAAGCATTTAAATACCGCATTTAGAAACTGATGAACTCAGTGTGCATCTGGACCCGGTGACAACATTACCTATTGACGCAGCAACCACTGTAAGTTATATTCTTGTTTAATTAGACTTCTCGGTTTCATTTATTCGACTCTGTATAATTGTTACTGTAGCTAAAACGGCTAAATCGCTTTTGAGAGATTTTAAATCTCAGATCTGCTCAGGCGAAACCTGCTTTACAGCTCTCAGCACTCAAGCCTGCATTATTAACATAGGCAGGGCCAGTCTATTGATTGCGTGAAGTAGAACTGCGTGACTCAGTCATCCTTTAGCTCAAAAAGCATTTAAATACCGCATTTAGAAACTGATGAACTCAGTGTGCATCTGGACCCGGTGACAACATTACCTATTGACGCAGCAACCACTGTAAGTTATATTCTTGTTTAATTAGACTTCTCGGTTTCATTTATTCGACTCTGTATAATTGTTACTGTAGCTAAAACGGCTAAATCGCTTTTGAGAGATTTTAAATCTCAGATCTGCTCAGGCGAAACCTGCTTTACAGCTCTCAGCACTCAAGCCTGCATTATTAACATAGGCAGGGCCAGTCTATTGTCGCCCATCAGCTGTAGATAGTTAACTAATTAACTTCAGCTGTGAGAACTGAGCAATCAGGCGTCCATTTCGGGTAGCTCTTTCCTGGAGCGGCAGCTTCAGCGGCAGACAGGCTAAGACTGACAAAGACATTAGAGTCCTACGGGAGTAAGACTGACAAAGACATTAGAGTCCTACGGGAGTCACGAGGGAGGCAAAGAGGAGGCAAATCCTACTTTGATTGAGCTAAGTATCGTTGGCGTTTTTAATTTTTACTTTTGTTGTTTAGCCCCTCATGCTATAATCATGTGTATTTTCTCCATTCCTGTTCATGTGTCTTCTCGCAATTATCACTGGCCCCGTGTATCTCCTAATCGATATAACCGGCCTGCTCTCGTCTATCCCACGTGCTCCACTGAGATCCATCATCTAGTTTCAGGTGGCCTGTGGAACTGCCAGTCAGCTGTTCCTAAGGCTGACTTCATCTCTGGCTACACCTCCCTGCAGTCTCTGGATTTCCTTGCTCTCACTGAGACCTGGATTACTCCATCCAACACATCCACCCCAGCAGCTCTCTCCACTGCATATTCCTTCTCCCATACACCCAGACCCACTGGCAGAGGAGGTGGCACTGGTCTCCTGCTCTCTCCCAAATGGAGCTTTTCCCTCTTCAAGCTACCTAACTTTACTCCTTCCACCTTTGAGTTCCATGCCGTCACAGTAACCCATCCTATACAGTTAACCATTGTTGTTCTCTACCGTCCACCAGGCGCCTTGGGGGACTTCTTGGAGGAATTAGATCATCTCCTCTCACACATCCCTGAAACTGGCCCTCCCGCTGTACTTCTCGGAGACTTCAACCTCCAGATGGGGAAGATAGACGAACTAACATCTCTGTTAACCGCCTTTGCTTTCTCACTCTCTCCGTCCCCACCGACTCATAAAGCTGGCAATGTCCTTGATCTCATATTCTCAAGGAACTGCGCTACTTCTAACCTCTCTGTAAACCCGCTCCACACATCCGATCACTTCTTCATTTCATTCTCTCTATCCCTTTCCAAACATAACAAACTCATCTCTTCCCATCCTACACTTGTCCGCCGTAACCTTCGCTCCCTCTCTCCCTCTACCTTTGCCTCGTCGGTGCTCTCAGCCCTCCCTTCCTCTGATTCGTTCCAACTACTGCCTCCAAACTCTGCTGCAGAAACTCTCCTCTCTACTCTCTCATCCACTCTGGACTCGCTCTGTCCTCTGACATCTCGGCAGGCTCGTCAGTCCCCTCCGGCTCCCTGGCTAAATGATGCACTGCGTGCTAATAGAACCGTCCTTAGGGCAGCAGAGCGGAAATGGTGGAAATCCAAACACCGTGACGACCTCCTAACCTATCAAGCTCTCCTCTCCTCTTTCTCTGCTTCGATCTCTCAGGCAAAAAGCACTTTCTTTCAAGATAAGATCCAATCTTCCTATTCCAATCCTAAAAAACTATTTTCCATCTTCTCCACCCTCTTGGACCCTCCAAAAGCTCCTCCCCCCTCCTCACTTCTGTCAAGCGACTTTGTTACCCACTTTGAAAAAAAGGTTAATGATATTCGCTCTTCTTTTTCTGACTCACCTTTACTCACCGCTGGGTCACCAGACCTTCCTTCCACCAACACACTAACCTCCTTTTCCCCTCTCTCTCCAAGTGAGGTTCTTACCCTCATTACCTCTGCCCGCCCTACCACCTGTCCTCTGGACCCTATCCCTTCAAACCTCCTTCAGACTATCGCTCCTGATATTCTACCGTTTCTCACCCATTTCATCAACACTTCTCTAACTTCTGGTCACTTTCCAAACAGTCTCAAGGAGGCAAGAGTAAACCCTCTCCTAAAGAAACTCACTCTCAACCAGTCTGATGTTATAAACTACAGGCCTGTCTCTCTCCTCCCGTTCCTGTCTAAATCACTTGAACGCGCTGTCTTTAAACAACTCTCCTGTTATCTCAATCAGAACAACCTTCTGGATCCGCACCAGTCTGGTTTCAAGGCAGGTCACTCCACAGAAACTGCTCTCATTGCTGTCACGGAGGAACTGCACACTGCCAAAACTGCATCCCTCTCCTCTGTCATCATCCTGTTGGACCTGTCTGCTGCATTCGACACGGTGAATCATCAGATCCTCCTTCGCACTCTCCAAAAACTTGGAGTTTCTGGCTCTGCACTTTCCCTCCTCACCTCATACCTGAAAGACCGTACCTACAGGGTGACTTGGAGAGGGTCTGAGTCCGACCCTTGTCAATTAACTACGGGGGTCCCTCAGGGCTCTGTTCTTGGTCCCCTCCTCTTCTCCTTGTACACAAACTCGCTCGGATCAGTCATTAGCCCGCATGGTTTTTCTTACCACTGCTACGCTGACGACACCCAATTAATTCTGTCCTTTCCCCGCTCAGAGACCCAGGTCGTCGCACGCATCTCTGCTTGTCTAGCTGACATCTCTCAGTGGATGTCTGCTCACCACCTCAAGCTCAACCTTGACAAGACTGAGCTGCTCTTCCTCCCGGGAAAAGATTGTCCAACTCTTGACCTGACAATCAACATCGGCACCTCAGTTGTTTCCCCGACTCAGACTGCAAGGAATCTGGGTGTGACCCTAGATAACAACCTGTCCTTCACTGCAAACATCGCTGCTACAACCCGCTGCTGCAGATACACGCTTTACAACATCAGGAAGATACGTCCCCAGCTGACTCAGAAAGCGACTCAGGTTCTGGTCCAGGCTCTCGTCATCTCACGCCTAGACTACTGCAACTCCCTCCTGGCTGGTCTACCTGCATGTGCCATCCGACCTCTGCAGCTCATCCAGAATGCAGCGGCTCGTCTGGTTTTCAACCTTCCTAAATTCTCCCACACCACTCCGCTCCTCCGCTCCCTTCACTGGCTTCCGGTAACTGCTAGAATCCACTTCAAGACACTGGTACTTGCTTACCGTGCTGCGAATGGATCTGGCCCTTCCTACATCCAGGACATGGTTAAACCGTACACCCCAGCGCGTGCACTACGCTCTGCATCAGCCAAACGACTCGTTGCGCCCTCGCTGCGAGGGGGACCCAAGTTCCCATCGGCGAAAACACGTGGGTTTGCTATCCTGGCTCCAAGATGGTGGAATGAGCTCCCCATTGACATCAGGACGGCAGATAGCTTGCACATCTTCCGGCGCAAACTGAAAACTCATCTCTTTCGACTCCACTTCGAGCGTTAGAATGATTAACGAAGCACTTTTATACCAATAAAGGACTGGATTACCTAAAGCCAGTTGAGTAGCACTTGAAATGTTTGGCTCTATGAAACCTGATATACTTATATGATTCTGTTTTCTTCAAGGTTGTGTCTTCCTGGTCGAATGTACTTATTGTAAGTCGCTTTGGACAAAAGCGTCAGCTAAATGCAATGTAATGTAATGTAATGTAAAAGAACTATACAAACCAGGTTCAATTAATAGTATAATTGAATATATATTTAAAGTTTAATGTAAAATAAACATGGCTATGCCTCAGGAGGAACAGCGGGTTGCTTCCTGTTCGCATGTTGAGGGGTCTTTGAGTAGAAACTGAAATCAAAGCTTCTCCTGGTGGGCATGCCCCTCCCCTCATGACAGCCGAATGGCACAACAACAGGCTCATTGTCTTAAGGAAGAAGAGTACTATATTAATATACCTGAATTTGTCTCACAGACTCTGTCAGAGAAAACAAAAGAGTTGGACAAAATGCGCTCAGAGTGGACGAGTCAGAGCAGCTGTCTGTCCAGCCGTCATTCTCTGGAGTTACAGTCGGAGAGAGAGAAGGCTGCAGAGGTAAGGCTCCTTAGCTATGTTTCTAATGCATTAAAGGGCTCTTAATTTAAAGGGGACCTATCATGCAAAATGCCCTTTGTGATGTCTTTTATACATACATATGTGTACTCGGTGCGTCGGGAAACTCACGCAGCGTCAGAAAATAAAACTCTCTCTCTTTTCCTCCGTACCCAGATCTTTTAAAAACGGGTGTACAATGAGTGGACACAGAATTGCTGCCGATCTGACGTCAAATCGGCAGCCGACCCACAGAAAGTTGCTATCAGAAACAATGCCTGACGTGTTTTGGACGTAATCTCGTCTTTGTTTACATTAGCAAGCCTCGCAAACACTCAGAGCTCACCTGTACTGTAGAGCAGGGGTTCCCAACCTTTATTGTGCCAAGGACCGGCAGATCCATAAAAAAAAAAATCGCGGACCGGTTGTCAATTTTAACTGATTTTAATATTTACTCACCAGCAGCAGGTAGCAACAGAGGCTAATTGTATGTGACAGCCTGCACAAATACTAGAACAATATGCATCCAAAACATTAACAACGTTAAAAAAAGAACCGGTGTCGTTTTTTCGGAAAAACGGAAAACCAAAAAAACCGACGTTATTCAGTTTTTAAACCAAAATGTGTGTGTGTCACTGGCATTTCAAATCAAATCAAATCAAGTTTTATTTATATAGCACATTTATAAACGATTTTTGGTCGAGCCAAAGTGCTGTACATATAATAAAAATAGCCTACAGTAGAGACACTTTACAGCAAATACAACAGCACAGATTGTTCAGAATATCAGTATGAGAAAAACGACACCCTCTATCCTTAGACCAGAGGTGCCCAACCTTTTTTGAACCGAGAGCTACTTTTAAAGTTGCCAGTCTGCCGAGATCTACCAGTCCAAATAGAGAGGCGTAGTTACTGAGAGCCTACTACCAGGTAAATACACACTTCTACTTGTATAAAACTGACCTTTGTACGATTAATACTCCATAAAATACTGCAGATCCTTTATCTTACCTCTTTCTAATCTACACACATACAAGTATTTAACTGAAGTTACACAACAGTGTTGTTGATACAGAATTGGAGTTTATTCACACGTCACATACTACAGTGGGTAATGTCTTCAAGAAACATTGAACAGTGCTGCAACATATGACACTGGGAAAAAAGAAAAGACGCTGAACCCTTTCTTTGCCAATAAAATTAGGCTTACTAATAAAACAACTCAGATCTGAAGCTACACATGAATCTGCTGCCAAAGTGCAATAAAAAAGACAAAATTAATAGAATCAAACCCTTTTTTTGTTGCATTTTAGTAGAGTATAAAAAGAAATGGCTTTAAAATAGGATGCAAGCAACACTAGTTTCTTAACCTGAATTGATAATAGACTATAATCAATTTAAGTTTGCATTCTTATACCATTTTGTACAATAATTATAATGAATAAGTTCAAACAAACTAAAACTTACAGCTGATTAATAACGGTATCTAACATGAGTTTTTATTATATCAAAAACCTGTTGAAATGCTTCTGTTATTTTTACTGTCCCCAAAAAGCGTGTCGGCAGCTTCCAGGAATGCTTCTTTCACAACTTCGCAGTCTTCGAAAGACTTCATGTGTTTCGCAAGAACGTGACTGACACGATAAGATGCTATGGTAGCAGCCTTGCTCTTGTTGTTGGGCCTGGTGGAAATGGACTGCTGTGCATTTAGCTGTCCTTTCAGGCCCCTCCCCTTTTGGGAGCGTAGGGCAGAATTAGGAGGGAAATCCGTCTCGTAGCATTTGTGCACTGTTTTGAAATGCCGCTCCTAAATTACCCTCCTTCGATAAAGCCACGCTCGCATTGCAGATGAGACAGATGGACTTTGAATTGGAATAGATACAAAAATAATCATCCTCCCACTCGGAGTGAAAATTATATATTTTGGGCTTTTTTGCTTCTGCCATAATTGCGGTCTTGTGTGTGTGCGGACTGTCACTCCTGTTGACACGGACAACGTCAGCAAAATAGTGCCCACTGCCCACCAGCCACGCCCCCACACATGGGGTCACGCCGGCTAATCACAAAGCTTTGGTGCGTTCAAGTGCATTATTCTGGCACAGGAAGATTATGTTATAGGACATTAACGATAAAACAGAATATTGTTGTTCTATTTTTAGACACATCTTGCGATCGACTGGGAATCTCCCCGCGATCGACCGGTCGATCGCGATCGACTGGTTGGGCACTCCTGCCTTAGACCCTCACATCGTACAAGGAAAAACTTCCAGAGAAAACCCACAGTTTAAGGGGAAAAAATGGGAGAAACCTCAGGGAGAGCAACAGAGGAGGGATCCCTCTCCCAGGACGGACAGACCATAGACTGTATATATAAATGGACGTAGTGTCCGTGACGTCACCCATAGGATTCTGCAGAGTTGCTGAGAAGCCCTTAGTAGGCGGAGTCGGCCACTAACGGCTTGACAGCAACGTCAGTCTAATCCCGCCTGCTCCAAATAAGGGCAAAGAGGCGGGACCTGCTGCCTCCGAACTGGAAGTAAACAGAGCTAGCTCAGGCTAAGAAGCTAAGCTAACATGAAATACATGCATACCAAGTTACTGCTAACAGTGTAGTTCCCCTATATAAACGTTACATTCATAATCAAATGAGACAATCTGCAAGAGAATTAGCTATATTTTGTTATTCTTAATGCTTGTCATTCACACGTTAAGAAAAGAAGTACCGATACATAGCAGAACAATTGTGGCGATGTTCAGCTTAATAAGCCTTGTTCAACATAATTTATTTAGCTAATACTACAGCAGGCGAACCAAGTCTGCGTTTCGCTGCATTCCTTGATCTCCAGTTATAACGACGGACTCCACCGCCCGGACCTAACGGAGCCGCAGTGGGCTAGCTCCGGGACGCCGGCTGGAGCTAGCCCCCTGCGGCTCCGTTAGCTCCGGCGGCCACCACTAAGATAATTGGGTCCCCTATTAACATTTGCTCCCGTTTAGCATTATGGGCGTCATAGCCATAGACTATAACAGTCTTACCCAAGGCTGAATCATAAACTAAAATGTATATGTATGCATAAAGGGTTACGTCCTTAGCTGGCTAATAAGTAACAAGCTAAGCTACCAAGCACACAAACACCTGCGAACGGGGTTAACATGTATAATATTATAATTTTAGACTTCTTAGAAGTTCTGTTAGTACATTCAAGCGCACAGCACGACATTTTAATTGTCTGGTATTTGTAACAATATTCTCTAAAAGGCACAATCACCACGAACACGGCTAAAGCTAAAGGGTCAAGTACAGTACTATGACTAATGCCCCTTTCACACAAACGCGTTTTCAGCTCCGGCTCGGAGCTGGAGTCTGAAAAGTGCCGGTTTTTCCTGTTCACACCGCAGCGCAGCCTCTTAGCTCCGGAATCCGGTTCACTTCCAGCTCCAAAAAATTGTCGGTCTAGAGGCAAGAGCTTCGGAGCTAAGAGGTGGCGTCGCTTACGTCTCTCTTACGTCGAGGCGTGCAGGAAACTAAACCCACCTCCCCTGAACATGGGTCGACTGTCATGCCTGCCTACAAGCAGAGTGCTTATAAACACACTTTATAAAGTCAGGCAACACTAACCAGGCTTCGTGTGATTCTGTTTATTTGTACCTTACTTTGACCATCCGTTCACTGTTATTGATCATTGTGGAGAGAGGCAGACGTTTTGTATTATAGCAGCTATCGGATGGAATCAATACATGGGCTGCACAGGTTGTCGTGTCCGACTATCACAAGTAGAATCATAATAAAAATACGCCGGTAAAATGTGCCTGAAGAAAACGGTTTATGCCACAATAGGATAGCAATAGCAAGTAGTCAGTTTATTTTCGGTTGCTATGCTAACATCACCCATTTTATACCAGAGAAACTTTCATAACAGCGTTGTGATGCCAAACCGCGTCAATTCAGACTGACACACATTCACTTAAGGGAAACTGGGGATATGTATCAGCTGCTTGTGTGAGTCGGACAGTGAATACTTTAGAGCGGCCGCTGCAGTGTGAGCTAACCGGGAGCTAACGGGAGAATAAACTCCCGTGGAAGAGCAGCCAACACTGCAGCGGTCGGTAAATGCCGCAGAAACACATTAATAAACAATGAACCACGGCACTCTGGAGAAAAGTATAAGGTTGGAGAAGTCGTTATTTAATTTAATCTGGCTTCGTTTAATTAAAAACAACACGATCATCGACCCGACGCAGTTCCCCATTGTTGTTGTGAGCGCCGTAATGCGGTTGGGGAGCAAATCAGCGATGTAAACGGTGACGTCATGACGCAGCAGCGGCAGCACCAGTCGGGCTCTGGGCGGTGTGAACAGAGCGGGAGCAGAAAAGGGAAACCGGAGCTGGACCAGAAAAGCTCTAGCTCGGAGCTAGAATGGGAAAAGCGCTGGTGGGAAAGCCGCATAACTAACGTTGTAGCTAGCCTCTATGGTTGTAGCCTAGCAGAGTGGACAAGTTGCTGTTAGCTGACAGTGAGGCATGTACGTGTCCATCAAAGTGACCACGCCCTCATTTATGCAAAAACTTTAAGACCTAATATAATTAAAAGGGTCGTGTTAGAAAACAATTCACTCACAGATTCATAATCATGAAGGTGGAATCTAACTATATCGATAATAATATTTATTGCATCCATGGGTATAAACATGTTTTTTTCTGCTGTAAAGTTGGGCATTTTAACATGGGGGTCTATGGAAATTGCTCCTTTCTGCAGCCAGTCCCTAGCGGCCCATGTATGAACTGCAGTGTGTGGCACTTCCGTATTGGCGTCCCGGCTGTTCCCCAGAGTTTGCCGCTTGGGACAGACGTGCAATAGATGGTTTGAGCAGTATGAGGCATGGCTACAATGGGTGATCTGTTTGGTATTTTAAGCAAAACACTTCAGACATGTTTTGTATAGGTATGGCCCTACAATATATGTTTCAAATATAGCATGATAGGTCCACTTTAAAAAATAAATGTTGTTCCTCTACATCAGACATCTTGTTAATCTAAATCTGAAAGGAAGTATGTTGATTTATTAGGGGAGCATTCATTTATTTGGAATTGAACATGTTGATTAATGTTTCAGTTGCAGAGCCGGCTGCAGCAGCAGACGGAGCAGATCCGCCAGGAGCTGGAGAGCTCTCATAAGACAAGCAGCCAGCAGCTCAACAGCAGACTCACAGAGCTGGAGGCCTCCTGCAGAGAGCTCACAGAGAGGAAGTACAAGAACGAGTCTGTCATCAGAGACCTGAAGGTCAAACTAGTGGGTGCAGAAGAGGTAAAATAATGACTAGGCCCAGATTACAGAGCTTTATATCAGCAGTAACTGATGTTTTAAGGAACCCCAGGAATCAAGTTGTGAACATGACATTGACCCACCTTTTAAAGTTCATATGGTGAAACTGTTTTGAAACGACCTAATTTGCCACATTTAGCAAGTGTTTGGGTCCATCTGATGAATTAATCCTATTTTCTCTCTGTTAGCTCTGTTTTCAGACTCCACCAAAGTGTCTTAAGCTGCTTCATAAAAAAGAGCAACAGAATGAAAGTGCAGGTGGTGTTAAATAAGGAAGTCAGTGCGGAAATTGGGGGGAGATTCCTTAATAGAGCAGGCATTTTGGGCAGCGATATGAGAGCCAGTCAAAAACGTAAATGCAGCCAATGCAACTTACAGAAAGATTAGGTTTAGTTAGAGATAAAAGCACTATGCAAAAAAGAAAGTAATGGCAATGGTGGCCCGATCGCGACTTGGGAAGAAAATAAAGGCTGAGTTGAAAGATGTTCTTGGTCTGAGCAAGAGAGGCGAAAGGACCATCCATACTTCCAAGTGTTGGCATTGCGTCTGGTGTGATTCCCCTGCAGATGGTGTCTAGTCAAAGGAATAGTGATTGTCATTGATAATGATGCCGCTCTGTGTGCAGGAGTGCCAGCGGTCCAAGCAGCAGGTCCTGTCTCTCAGGAGGGAGAACGGCACCCTGGACACAGAGGTCCACGACAAGGAGCGTGTGGTGAGCCAGCTGCAGATGAGGGTGGCCGTTCTGGAGCAGGAGATCAAAGATAAGGAGCAGCTCATGCGACGCACTAAAGAGGTGCTGGAAGCCACGCAGCAGCAGAAGGTAAGAGCTTCTTCAAATGTGTCCTTTTACAATCTCTGTTAAAGACAACACTAACTTAGCGCTCCTCCTGGGTTGTGATTGTCTCAAGGTTCGCTGCACTTTATCGTTTTAATTCATTTCTTATTTCATAGTTTTTCATCATTTTTATCTTTGATTTGATTTTTGATTTGATTAATCTGTGTGAATCTGTGCTGTCCTGGTTTTCATCCTAACCCTGTTGCTGTTTGAACTACTGCATTTCCCCACGGGGATTAATAAAGGTCCATCTTATCTTATCTTATCCAATACCCATGCTCTTTATCCCATGCCAGACAACAATTAATGCTAAACATTAAAGGTCCCATGTCATACTTTTCCGGTTATTACCCATCCCCTTGTGTGTTATGTAGCTTTTTCTGCATCTAAACGCTCTGCAGAGTCCGACTGACGGACAACTTCTCACTTCAAAAAAGAAGAAGAAGAAATCTAGACCGCAAAATAATTAAACAAGCGAGTGCCTGTTTTTCCTGGCCAAGGACAGGTTCAATGAACACAACACGAGCGTAACGTTTCTTCACGTGGTATATGTCTCGTCTGAAAGGAGTGTAGAGTAGTGCTGACAGAGAGCACCGGAACGTCGCTCCAGCTCTTCAAATATTGCAGTACCCATAAGGAGCCGTACACATGCCGCAGTTTTTGTCTTTAGTTGTAAGCACAGTGGCGATCTGTTGTTATTAGCATCTGGTTAGCTAGCTATGCTAACAAATTTAAAGAGCTTTTCTACAACCAGGTGGAAGAGAGCTCTCTCCTGAGAGGCTCGAATAACCTCAGCTCAGTGAGGTTAAGGCACACCTTGATATGATCATTATAGTTATTAATGAGACTAAATGAAAAACAGGTATAAAATACTATATGACAGTAACAAAAAAGTTGTTAAAAACAACAAGAATAGAGTTTAAAAGGGGAGTGATTTGTAAAATATCCAAAAAGAAGAATCTGCTTACAGTTCTGTTTCATATGGGTGTTGAGATGTATCCATAGATCTCTTCATGTTGCTCTCAAAGTGCACCAGATTGATGCTTTTAACTTCAATATTTTAAAAATCTTCCCAGAGGGGGGGCATGCCCCCGGACCCCCCTAGAGGAGGTTAGGCCCCCCCCTCTTAAATCATGTTCACATGGATAGGATACTAAATACATTTGCACACATCTTGTGTCCATATCTTTCTGTTTTGGTGGTCATGCCACACCGTGCACGTGCATGCGTGAGTCATGGTGAGATATCTGGATTCAGAGGTTGCTTTTTCTTTGCACAGCATGAAAGAAAGGTGAAATGAATGGGCTGTGATTTTAGTTTTTTTTAAGCTGAGGTTGAGTTCAATAATTTGTACGACCCCCGGAGGATGTTGTAAAAATTGAAAGAAAAAAGGTTCCCCTCCCCTGCTGTAAATAATAATAAAAACCCTTAATTTATAACTTAACATCTCTGTCTCCTATTGATCTGAGTATATGATAAAGAATAGCCAGTTAATTGAAGAATTATAGCACAGGCCTTTGTCAGATGGTGTTTATTTTCTGCTTCGAATAGTCCTCTCTTTTTTCACCATATCTGTGTTTGCATCACTGATTCTCATCTGTTTGTCATTACTGGTGTCATTTTCTGGTTGCTAACGCCATTATAACACATAATCACTGATGCTCCGCTGTAACGGAGGTGGACTCATCAGAACAGAGTGGGCTAGCTGACCAATCAGAGCACAGTGGGCTCATAGGGAGAGGGGGGGGGGCAGGAGCTCCAACAAGCCATTTAGGACAGAGAGTGAATACACATATATATACAGAGATGCTGTTTGAGAAACCAATGTGATTTTGGAACATTGAACAATGTAAATCTATTCTAGTAGACCTCAACAATGGAATTATGATCAGTAGAAATGGCCATGTCATGGGACCTTTAAGCGAAGTACATGGGAGATACCAACCGCTACATCTACATGGGCCTCCGTCACCAACATGATTATGGTCTTTCAGAATAATTGAACATTAAACCAAACAACAAAACAAAAAAATGGCAAAACATTATTTCCCCTTATATTCTACTTTTTACAGCACTGCACTTTTTTTTGACATCTTTCTTGTCTTGTAGTATTTTAATCTCAAAAGGCTATATTTGCCGAAAAAATCACTGAAATTCCCATATGACGGTCTTTTATTGAGTAACACCTAATACTAAATGCATAATGCTTGAAAAGGATTTACTGACAGTAAGAGTATAGAATAACACTATTGATTTTTTGCTCATATAATGTATCTTTTTTGTTGTTTTCCAGGAATCAATTGAAGAAAATGCTGAAAGTAAAGAACTTCACAATAGGAAACTCGAGGCCACAGTGAAATCTCTTTCTGAGGAGCTGATAAAAGTGAGTGAAGCTGCAGGCTGAACACATGAAGGAAACACTGTTACCCCACCATCAGCATCCATATCCTTGTTTCCACACCAACGCGCCCCTACTCTCAACACTGAGCCTAACCTCATTGATTTCAATGGGCTGCACAGAGTAACAGAATCACTTCTGTACCTTATAAACTGAGTGTATAACTGCATCTTGTTCTGTCCACTTTCTTACTTCCTATTTCTTTGAACCCAGGCTAATGGCATCATTAAGAAGCTGCAGGGCGAGGTTCGAGGCCTGGTTGGAAAAATTAAAGTAAAAAACACTGTGACCGTGTCACAGGAGAAGGTCCTCCAGGACACATCAGAAAAACTCCAGAGTGTTGAAAAGGATCTGCAGAGCACTCAGCAGCAGCTCAGCAGCAAGGAGGAGCAGGTCTGTCTCTGAGAAGTCTTTCAGAACGCTGTAAACTGCCTCATATATTAATTATATACACATGTAAATGCTTGGCTATAAGGAATTATGTCAACCGAAGAATGAACAAAGATTAAAAAACAAAAATATTCTTGATGAATGAAAGAATAAGGGGTCGCGTTTCACAACAGTAGAGCTATATGTCAAATAGATTGATTTAGTGACGTGTAATAAAATAGTCCAAAACCACTTTAGTTTCTTTTTGTTAGCTGGTATCAGAATTAATTATCCAAATGGGGTTTTGCGACAGTTGCTCTATTTTAGGATTACAAAAATAAAAGATTAAAAAAACAGTACTAATATAACATAAGAGGTTAATGTAAGAAGATTAAATACAATTATTTATATAAACATAACAAATACTGAAGCAAAATGTCCAATAAAAGATAAAAAAAGAATGATATAAAGTAGAAATGTGCACATAATAAGTATGTACAGTGTAACAATATGTACTGTGATGTGCCAATAAGATAATAATGATCAATTGCATACTGTATTGCATTGGATCAAAATGTTATTATTTGATATCGGCAAATCTCACAATGTGTTCAAAGAATGGATGTTTTATTGTATTGTGATCAAATCTGCAATAAACACCCCTACAGTTTACACATTCTCACACCTTTTGCAGAATAAGCCAAGTCTCTTGAGAAAAACACCATATTCAATATGTTTTATGCTTAAGAACTTGAAGGAATTTCAAACACAACTATTAGAAAACAAGCGGGTCACTCTAAAATGGTAGCCTTTATTTACATGTTGCTTCTATAGCACTAATGTATGAGTAATGTTATTGGCTTGAGACTGAACAAACGTTCCGTGCACCTCTATCTATAAAATATCTAATAGTGATAATCACACATAAGGTGGATTTTCCTCCCCCTTTTTTATCTCTATCATTCTAAATTGTATACCTTTTTATCTTTTGAATCATTGTTCACTTGAAAGGAAATTGCAGCTTGGTGCCTTTTTTATCTTTGCATTCATTTGTTGGAATAATGTTAGTGCTGTGTCTATGTATATGAAAAGAGCCACAATAGCTCTTTAAGTGTAATTCTTATCCAATTGAACAATATCAACTTGTTGAATGAGACGAGAGAACGTGCAATGCAGATTTCAGTTTGCAAGGGAGATAGCTAACTTTGCAAATTCATTCAAAATAAATAATTTGATAAAAATGTTATTCATATATTTCAGGTTTCAAAACTGAAGGAGCAGCTGGAGACGACAGTACAGAAGCTCAATGAAAGCAGAGAGGTGTTGAAAACCAATGAGAATGGTGAGGAAGCTTTCCTCTCATTTCAACGATGAACAGACCCACTGCCATCCATATAATAATGTATAAACTCCTTAGTGCATCAGTGTTTAATAATAATTCCTTACATTTATTATAGCGCTTTTCCAGATGCTCAAAGCGCTTTACAAATACACATTACACATATTTTTTTTTATACATGCAATGGTCACTGTGGACAATACCCACTGTTTAGACATGTTCATATACACATTCTGTTTGGAATCGTACTTTGCCATGTTTTTCTCATAGAAATGTCTAGTTACCTCATCAGAATCTATGTTTTTATTGACGTTAGCTGCTGTACACATGATGTGGCCTACTTATGTTGCCAGCTCATGTGTGGATTATAAGTTTAATTGGGTTTAATTGGCTGGCAGTTTAAAGATAAGTGGGTTTGTCCAAACAGCTAATCGTCTAACAGTGTGAGAATCACAACTCCTTGTCTCTGTTACCTTTTGTTCCCCTCACAGTTATAAACTGGCTCAACAAGCAGCTAAATGAAAAGCAGCTCTCCAGAAAGCCCCAGTCTCCTGAGTGTATGGACACCCCTTCACTTCTATCCACAGCACCAGCCCCGAGGGTAGGAGATGCTTGTAATTTTACCCACAACTTTACAACATCTATTTAAAAATGTCAGGGCCACATGCCACAGTTGAAAAAAACCAATATTCCATATTTTTTTAATTAGACAAATTCCAAATAATATATACAGACAAGGTACAAGAAAACAAAGTTAGCCTCACCTGTCATACTCCAATGTAACGGAAAAACAACTAAAGAAAAACTAAATAGTAATAATAATAAAATGTCTCCACTGATCTGTGTTGTAAATGTGATTTCTGTTTGATTCCAATCGCTTTTTATAGTCAAAATCAGCACATTGGCCGAGCTCCGCTACAACTACGGGTAGCGATGAGAAGTGAGGCAGGGACGAGCTCTGCCTCTCGTAAGCCCACAGTAACTGGCTGGAGCGCGGGCACTAATGTAGCGCGGGCACTTATTTTGTGAGCGCGCTCAAGCCAGTTACTGTGGGGTGAGGTGAGGCACAGATGAGCTCTGGCTCACCTCAGAATGCGTCACCCCACAGAAACTGTCTGGAAAGCGGGCCCTAAGCGCATGCCTGTTACCATCTCACTGTATGTCACCAATGTAATGTTTGTAGATCCCTCTATTACATTTATCCTCGCCATCCATAGTCTCTAAATAACTTATTTCACGTATATATGATATTTAGGCTCGCTGGTCTCATCATACAACGGCAATGAAAAAAGCACCTGGAGAGGCAGCCATAACCTCTGCCGCACTGAAGGGGGCGCACGTGAGCCCACAGGTTCTTGTTGCTACTGTTATTCTACGCAGAGACGGTATGGACGCGAACAACAAACTAGACTTTTGAAACTAGAGGAAGATAAGGAGGACTTTTACAAAAAAGTAATAGAGATTGTTGTCCAGAAGGAGAGCATGGACTTCATCTTCAAGTCACGGTAAGACCACCATTGTAATGAAAATGGGATCTTTCTAAGAAAGAACAATCCAATATTTAGATTTTGGGTATCCTTTTGTTGAACGGTCTGTTTAAAATGAATTCAAGCATCAGACTAAAAAAGCTTTTCAAAATAACCGAATATTTCGATTAAGGTCAAAATATAATATTTGTAAATCTGACTCTGAAAGAGTCAGTGCCTCACCAGCCATGAACCTCACCGCACGTCACTGGTGTATATATATGTATCATATATCATTCTAAATTGTATACCTTTTTATGCTTACAGGCACAGTTTTACCCTCAGACTGGCAGAGCTGCTGCTGATGTCATGCCTGCTGAGCAGCGATCAGTGCAGGCAGCCATCAGACACACGTGAGTACTTCCTCTGCAAAGACTGCACAATGTATTTCGCTTAAAGAAGACCTAGCATACAGTAGTGCAGTGATGACGTAGCTTTGTATGCCGACCAGAGGTTGCGCTAGACTTTTTCGCTGCCCGTCATTTTGACGGACAGGATCGTAAAACTTCCGTCAAAATCCAGAATTACCCGTCGGCCATTACACAACTCGGGGGGGTTGTGTAATGCATCAATGTGTTTCATTGATGCTTCTAAAGCCTTTGATCGTGTTAATCATAGGAAGTTATTTGTTAAACTGAATCAAAGAGGGGTGCCCAAATACATTGTGAGAATTCTGGTCTACTGGTACTGGTACCAGACTATGCAAGTAAAATGGGGCAATAGGGTCTCAGCCCCATTTGGGGTTAGCAATGGTGTCAGACAAGGTGGAATTATGTCCCCAGTTATTTTTAATCTTTATATTGATGATCCGTCCAAGCGACTGAAAGCCTGTAATACTGGATGCATGATTGGTAGTACTCTAGTGAACCATATTATGAATGCAGATGATCTTGTTGTGCTGAGTCCATCCAGCGCTGGTCTTCAGCAGCTTCTTGCTGTGTGTTCTGTGTATGGTGTGGAACATGACATCAAATACAACGCCAGTAAGAGTGCTGTCATGATCTTTAGAACCAAAGAAGATAAATGTCTAACATTTCCTGATTTTAAATTGTCTGATATTAATCTTAGTGTCTGTAATAAGTTAAAATATCTTGGACACTTTATTACAGAACAAATGACATATGATGAATATATTTATAGGCAATGCCGCATGATGTATGCACAAGCAAACATTCTCCTACGTAAGTTTAGTGCATGTACAGATGGAGTGAAGATGTCTCTGTTCAGAGCATATTGTACACCACTCTATACTGCACATTTGTGATCAAAGGAGGAGCTTGACGCTCGTCAACTATCAGCAGGAGGGCGGGGGAGCCTTGCTGCGGGGAAGCAGTGTGTGGACCTCTCAGCGCAACTTACATGATGCCGAATTTAACAAACACATTTAAATAATTGGTTTAAACGGCATAATAATAATAAGGACGATCGTCCGTTCTGTGATTCTCCAGAGCACACATGTTATGATATTAGGGTCATGCAGAGTGAGATGAGATCGCTGTTCCTTTAAGAGAGAGAGAGGGGTGTGGCTTGTGCATGTGTGTTTGTGGATGGTAGAGCGACAGTGAGGGAACGTGTGTTTTGTTTCTGGAAGTGAAACGAGGAAGCAGAAAAACAGAGTTATGTGATGTATTTTGTGAAACAGAAGAACAGCTAAATAAATGCAACGGCCTCCCAAGAAGAGCTCGCCTCTCTCCAGTCATTTAAGCTAAAGTGGGTTATTGAACCTGAAGCTTGTTGCTTCTGCCCTCCTCGACTACGGTCTGGGAGCCGACAGGAAAGTTCAACACACAGATGGCCAGTCCGCCCCTTTGTAGCATATTATTTCAATGAGAGATGAGCAGATCGCCACTGGGCTTTCAACTAAAGACACAGCCACGCAAAAACTGCGTCATTTGTACAGCTCCTTATGGGTACTGCAATTAGTGAAGTGCTTTCCTCCGTGGTGAAACGATCAGCACTGCACCACGGAGGAAAGCAGCAGAAAGTCACCTGGAGATAAAGAGAGCGGGGCATGCATGGCTTCCTTCTGCAGGTAACGGGGAGACGCCTCTGGCGGCGGTCTCGTTCAGGATCCGAAAATACAATTTGAATATTTACACACTTATTCCTAGTGTGCCACTGGTTACGGTGCCGCGTGCCAATGCTGGCACGCGTGCCAGGGGTTGCCGACCCCTGGTCTAGTGCAAGTGAAATGTTTGTGGCTGCAGGTGTCAATACTCTACAAGCTGTTTTAAGAAATCTCATGTATAAATGTATTTGCCGGCTTAATGACTCTGATAATGAAATCCTCTTGGCCTTATCAAACATAAGGTACATTTAGTACTACACGCTACCAATCACAGCTGTGGAGACATTGGTATAGTTGTCTCTTTGTAGGACACTGATTTAAATTATTCTTAAACTATAAAAAAAATGTATGCTGTGTATGTAATTTATTATATGTAATGCCTTGTCTTTTATCTATGTCTTGTCTTTTATCTGAACCCTGAGTCTGTAATAAAGTTTTCATTCATCTAAATAAAACAGGAAGTTAACCTAAATTACATTCAAGACATACAACTGCAAGGAAAGTAACAAAAACAATGTAATATCCTTTTCAGTTTCACAGAACACAAATTGGGTTATTTACATAATATGTTTACATGATTTTGTTGTGCAATAAATGCAATCTCGATGTCATCGTACTATGATACGATGGCTACACAACGGTATTGCGAGGGCTTCACGTAGTCGTGTTGCCTTCCTAAGACAATCGGGCAGCTTCTTGTTTCCTTCGTATTGTCTTGGTGAGGTGAAAAATGCCCGATGGCTTCGATGATCACACGAAGTAAAGACGAAGATGACACGATTTGACAAGATGCCCTCACGAGTGCCTTACGAAGGGCAAAATGGACATAAAATGGCAATATTTTGGCATGCCAAAGATTTTGCCACCGCTCACGAAGTTGCTGCCGGAGCCTGAGAAACTCCACCGGCAGTCATACGATGGCTTAAGATGCCCTCACGAATGGCCAGATGTTACGATCAGAGCCGAATTTGAACATTTCCTTTATCGTGTGTCCATCTGGTGTCAATTTCGGGACAGTGACAGGGGCTTAATGGAAATGTTGAGCTGAGTGTCATCGGCATAAAAATGGCAACCTAATTGATCATTATTAATTAGTAAACCGAGAGGAAGCATGATGGTTGAAAAAAGGATGGGGCCAAGCACAGAACCTTGGGGGACACCATAGTTCACTTCAAGCGTTTCAATCTAATGAAAAGCTCACATTAGGCTATGAAGGACCTTGATCATGGTCTCATGACTTCACGTCACCAGTGCTAAGCTAAGGGTGGCTAATGATTAGAGTGATGATGTTAAGTGGTCTTATTTAGTCACTTGTTAGAAACTGCTGTTTTTACGAAATATAAAAGCTTCAGACATTAACCAATGAGGTATTTCCTGACACATTTATAGTCATAGATCATAATATGGAAATCTCTTTAGCTTGTGTTAACCACAGACCTTATTTCTATTTTCCACTGTGTTCTTCTCATCCTCAGTGGAGACTCGGACGGTCTGGACTCAAAGTACTTTGAGAAGAGAGATGATAGCATACCAATATATGGTCTGTCGTCAAATCTTCTTCACAAAGGTAAAACTTCAAAATATTCATCATAATCTGTAAAACCTGGTCGCGAAGAATTCCAAGAAAACACATCCTTCTTAAATATTTGTACTGCCTTTATCAAAATAATCAAAACATTTGCATTTAAAAGGAATGGGATTGGAGATTGAGGTCCATTTTCTTTTTTTTCTTCTTTCCAGACTTCCCTCAGCGAACAAAGCCCTCCATAGCTTCTGCTTACTTCTCTGCATTAAGCATAAGCAGATAAAGTTTCTTCTCAACTGGAGGTGGATGTAAACGCAGCAAAAGCTCTCTACCCCGCTCCTGTTGGTGACCTGCTGTTGTTTTTAAGTAGCTTATGTTGCTATATTAATCCATCCATCATCTTCTTCTAATAGTTCATGTTAAAACTGTCTGAATGGTGGATCCAGTGATCATGGAGAATGTATTAAAGTCATTAAATTAAATATTAAAATTGTCCTGTTACAGTTTATTAGGTTTTCAAGTCTTTAAGTGTTTGTGTTGTTCTTTATTTTCTGTAATAAACCGTTTTTTCGTCCTTATTGGTGTTCTTTATTTTCTGTAATAAACAGTTTTTTCATCCTTATTGGTGTTCACAATAATTCCAGAGTGGTTATAAATCTAGAGAAAATGTATTTCATCTCACTTCAAGTTACCGTCAAATGTAAATATTGGTGTTTTTTGTTGTTGTCATGCAATGCTAGCATTTAAAGTGTTTATATGTGGGCAATCTGATAAAAATTCAAACTGCTGCTCAGGCAGGTCAATTAAAGAAGAAGCTGCACCCTATGATTGAAACCATGATTGTTTATTTGACATTATTTTTTAATATGTTTAAAGACAAATTTTCCAAATATTACATTACACTACAAGTCTTGAAGTCAGTAACAAACACATGTTTTCCTTGTCTGTATCTCAGGCCTCTTCTCTTGGGTTTAGGCGGGGGCCGCGGGGCTCAGGACGGGGCTCAGGACGGGGCCAGGGGCAAATGGGGTGGATAGCTGCGTCCGATCCATGGCAGTGCAGGCGGTGGAATTGGGCCCTATGACGCTGCCTTTCTTGGTCAGGAGGGCCACCATCAGCAGGGGGAGGAGGGCCACCATCGTCACCACCTGTAGGGGGAGGAGGGCCACGACCACCAGGACCATCATGGTCAGGAGGGCCACGACCACGAGGACCATCACTGTCAGGAGGGCCGCGACCACGAGGACCATCACGGTCAGGAGGGCCGCGACCACCAGGACCATCATGGTCAGGAGGGCCACGACCACCAGGACCATCATGGTCAGGAGGGCCACGACCACGAGGACCATCACTGTCAGGAGGGCCGCGACCACGAGGACCATCACGGTCAGGAGGGCCGCGACCACCAGGACCATCATGGTCAGGAGGGCCACGACCACCATGGTGTCTACATATGGGCTCCCGCTCACCATCGCCGAGGGCAGTAGAGTTCTGTTAAGAGCAGACCCAACAGAGAGTGTAAGTGAATTTCATGACAGTAACTAAGTATACTTACTGTATGTGTGAAGTGTACTTTACTTGATTATCTTTTATTTTACCCCATAACATTTCAGAGGCAAATGTTTTATCCCCTCCATTTATTAAATGTTTTATTTAGGGCTGGGACTCGATTAAAAAAATTAATCTAATTAATTAGAGGCTTTGTAATTAATTAATCGAAATTAATCGCATTTTTAATCGCATATACATATTTGACCTAAGAACAGTGAGAAGCAATTTTTTTTCACATGGATTTTAGTATACCATTAGGCACATTCACACCGCAGTACTTTTCCCACAAAGGTTCATGAGAATTGAGTTCATGAGAACTCTTTGAACCTGGGGGTGGATTAGGCAAATGAAGCCGCTGACGTCACTTCTTCTTCTTCTGCTTTGGGTTTACTGGCAGGCCGCAAACCACTTCACGGCGTATACTGCCGCCCAAAGTCCCCGGCCGGAAGTCCCCGGAGTTAGGGACTGGCTTCAGTAGAAGCTGCTGGGAGTCCCAGCAGCCTTCCGAGTAAATCGCCAGAACGCCGACACCTCCTCATCTCCACCGCTCCCATGTTTTATTTTGTGTTGCCATAAGTTAGTCTCTCTGCGTTTCTGCGCTGGGCTAATGCTAATAATGCTAATGCGAGGATAATAAAATGGCGGCTTCACAAAACTTTTTGGGAGTTTTACGGGGCGTGGTTTGCAATCCGCCCAGCCAATCAGAAATATAGCTCTTTTCTCACAAGAGAGCCTTACGAAAGTCCCTGCTCTCTAGCAGCTCTCTGCTCTCTAGCAGGGACTTTCGTCGGGGTAAAAAGGTTCTCATTAACTAATTTTAGTACCGGCTCTTTTTGGTGTGAACGCGATAAAAGAGGCTAACGTCCACGCTAGCTTTCACGCTAGCTGCTATATGTTTTGCATTGAGGTGATACTTGAGGCTTGATGTGCTGCGGTGATATGCGAATTCCTTTTTGCATAATTTGCACACAACCGTGCTCTTATCGACGCTTCCATCCGTCCGTTTTTTAAAACAACATTTCCCACTGTTGTTCACTGTGGTTTGTTGTTGTCTGAAGTCATGAACGTTAGTTGGTGCTCCAGTATAATCGGTACGCCTGAAACTCATCCAGTGAGAAACGTTCCGCTGTGCAAAAATAAGTGCGATTAAAATGCGTTAATTTTTTTAACGCGTTAATTTTTGTGTAATTAATTAATCTTAATTAACGCGTTAAAGTCCCGGCCCTAGTTTTATTCTATAAGTATAATTTGCTAAAGATATTTCTGTACTTGTGATGGAGTATTTCTGGAATGTAGTATTTTCTTTTTAAGTTAAGTAAAGGATCCGAGTACTGGTCTCTGCACAGATATTATTTGGCTACACAATTGATCAATAACAGATATAGAACAAATGGATATTAAGGTGAGCAAAATGCGGACTCACCATTGGAGGGTAGTAATCACACTCAACAGACATGAGTCCCTTGGATTTGGAGTAAGATGAATGGCAGAGAGCATGACGCTTCAAAGAAAAAAGAGAGAGACAATTAGAGAAGAGGAATCTCATTGAGCAACAGTGAAGGAAGCTTATACTGCCATGCCACCAGGCCCTGTTGGTTAGTTTGGTTGTTTTATTTGTTTATAAGCTAATTCAATCGGTATAATGTCAGTCACATTATGTCGGTCACATGACATATCGGTCACACAACAAAATGTTGGTAACATTACATAGTGACGGTCACATGACATAAAGTCATCCACAGGTCACAATGTCTGTCACGTCATTCAAATGACATTACATAATGTCGGTCACAATATAAATGTGATCATGTTAAATAATGTCGGTCACATGACATAAAATGTATCACATGTTCCGTCACATGAAGTTGGTCAAATTACATACCTGCTATCACATGACAAAGTGGGTCAAATAACAAAGTTGGTAACATTTATAAAGTCTGTAACATTTATCGCATTACATAGCTGCGATGATATGACATAATGTTGTTACAATTACATAATTGTCACATAACATAAAGTTGATAACATGACAGTAACGGCCCGTCCACACAGCGGCGTGCGTTGAAGCTTGCCGGCGGGCGTGTCTGAAACTCGACCAACAACCAATCACCTGAATCTCCCGCCCCTGACACACAAGCAGCGGTTTGATTGGCTAGAGCTTGTACTGGCATATGATTCGATTGGCTGACGCTTCTGCCGAGGCTTCAAAAGTTGAACATTGCTCAACTTTTGCATCGAGCCACGCCAGCGAAGCTCCGCTTCGCTTCCCACAATGCAGTTTGGCGAAAAGTGACGTCACCCCATTCAAAGTGAATGGTGAAGCTTTCAACGCACGCCGCTGTGTGGACGGGCCGTAAGTAAATCACATGAAATAAAGTTGGTCACATGACATGAAGTTGATAGGTCACATGACATAAAGTCAGTAACATGACATAGTCAATCACATGATATAAAGTTGATCACGTCAGAAAGCTGGTAACATTTCACGACATTACAAGACATAATTGGTCACATGATATAATGTTGGTCAGACGACACAACGTTGGTCCAACGACATTTCTTGCAAATTCAGTGATTACTGTCAAAGTGTGTCTTCTATTCGTACGAGTTGTACTTACAGCTCGATCAGGGCAGAGGGGTTTGCATGCCTCAGGAAGGATTCTGGATCCCATTCGGCAATGGGACTCCACGAGGGCAATCTCAGCCCAGTAGTTCATCCCGGTCATCGTCCACTGAGAGAGGAGGACATAGCACTGCATGAGGCTACAATAAATACTTTAAGGTAAACATACATTAATAATATAATATTGGGTGGGATGAAACCCTCTTTATGGTCACACATGCAGAGCACACAGCACACACAGTGAAATGTGTTCTCTGCTTTTAACCCATCCTAGTACTAGGAGTCTAGTACTAGGAGCAGCGGGTAGCTATTGTACAGCGCCCGGGGAGCAATGGGAGTGGGGGGGGGCAGGGCAGGGGGTGAACTGGGAACTCTCCATGTACCAGTCCACACTGGCACACTCCATATTTTAGTTCTGGTCGGGGACATGAACCAGTGACCCTACGGCTCCCAGTCCAAGCCCCTACTGACTGAGCCACTGCCAGACTTAGAGACATAACTTCCTTAACATGGACATGCTGAAATAGTTGACCTGTAATAATCACAAAAAAGAGGAAACTGTAAGGCCTCCTGCACATTTGTGTGTGTGTGTGTCTAGGTTCTTTACCCCGATTTTAATCCGTCCCACGTCCTTCAGGATGAAGTAGTTCTGGTTGGTGGTGTTCTCGTTGACTCTCTGCACAGCTTCTTTTACAGACTTCATACCCTCAGGGTCATGAAGTGAGATCAGATTGGGGCAGTCAGTGCAGATGCTCACCATCTCACTGTCTGTTTTCACTACACACACACACACACACGCACACAAACACACCCCATTATTTATTTGTCATAACGAATAGTTTCCCCAAATCTAATTATATGGTAGTAGTAAGGTAGAGATATATAGACATGAATAGCACCTTCTTAGCCGAGTGGTTGCAGTGGGCCTTTGGTGCATGTCATACTCCTTGCTCACCCCCGCCCAAAACAATCTAAAAGTTAAAACCCTAACCAGGGTTTTTGGCAGATTGTCTATTATCAATGTTCTGTTGTGTATCAGGCGTGTTGAATGAGACCCACCTTGTCGCGTGTCACAATGATAATTTCTGACTTTTGCGTCACCATTTATCACATTAATCCTCACGGAGCAGTTGGCCATCACCGCCTACAGAGAAACACAGAGCTTGTTCTGTCGAGACCTCACATAACCAATTATCATGCGTCAATCTGGCTGTACATGAACGTGACACAATTTGGTTAAAGAGTAACTGATCCAACACTTACCCGTTGAGTCTCTCCGCGGATCATACAGTCCTCAAAGTGCTTCGGGTTGATGTTGTGGCACGTTGTCTCCATAAGGTCCAACTGCAGCTCGATTTCACAGCCGTCATCGACCTGCAAACACCAGAGAGTGTAAGTCACATTTCATTTTCATTTAGATGATACTTTTGTCCAAAGAGACCTACAATAAGAGCAAAGATAAAAACTCAGAACCCCAAGAAACCTGCAAGTACATTTTCTATACATGAAGTTAATAATATATATAATATCTCACTACATTTACTCAGTCACAGTTAACTTAAAGAAATATTTTGTTTTAGCATTTAAAACATTAATATATAAGATTTGTGTATCTTCCATTCATTAAAGGAGATCTATCATGCTATATTTGAATAATATATTGTAGGGCCATACCTATATAAGGTATATATTTATACGTTTTCTTTTTCAAAATACCAAACAGATCATGCATTTTAGCCATGCCTCATTTCGCTCTATTTTGTTCTCCTCCACCCCTGTCTTTGCATGCGCTGCAGCTGACCACGCCCCCCTGCAAAGGAGGGGGCCGAGTTACGAGCCTCATGTTACCATGCTGTTACCATGCCACGGCAACCTCTCATTCCCCTGATTGGTGGAGAGTTGGCCATATAGGCGGAGCTCCTCGTCACTGACGTCAGACTATTTTCAAATCTGAATCAGCTCTGTTGCAGCCGCATTTTTTTTAAATTTGGGGTATGGAGGAAAAGAGAGAGGGTTGTGTTTTCTTACACTTGGTGAGTTCCCTGACACACCGGGGACACATATTAATGTATAAAAGACGTACAAAGGTGCATTTTGCATGATAGGTCCCCTTTTAAATGAATTTATTCGATCACAATAGAAAAGGCATTTCAGAAATAGTTTCTGTGGGTATCGATTAAAGGTCCCCTATTATGCAAAATGCACCTTTTTAATGTCTTAAAGGTCTCCTATTATGCTATTTATAGGCATATATTATGGTTCTCAGATATATTAAAAAAACATGTCTATGATGTGTTTTGCTCAAAATACCAAACCGATCATGCATTTTAGAAAACCCTCATATCCCTTTAAGCCCTGTAAGAGAGAGGCTGATTCTGGGTCCTTAGCTTTAAAAAAAAAAAAAGGGGGGGGCTTGTGCCTGCTCAGAATTCTACGAGATACTCAGCTTAATGCTGCCGTGATTAAATGCCATATCATGTTCCAAACCACATCAAGGATTATTTCTGAAACAGTATGGAGCACAAATGCTTTTTCTCTTCCGGATTTACCACAAGGTGAGTTCCCTTTTTTATTTCCTGCTTTTTTACACATGCTCTCTCCAGTACAGGTTAGCTCTGAGTGTTAGCGATGCTTGCTAATGTAAACAAAGACCATATTACGTCCAAAACAGTCAGGCATTGTTTCTGATACAGCAACGTTTCTGATAGGGCTGGGGGTCCACATTTCCGATATTACGTCATATCGGACGCAAATCTGGATCAGCTCCGTTGTACCCCCATTTTTAGAGATTTGGGTACGGAGGAAAAGAGAGGGTTTTGTTTTCTTACACTTTGTGAGTTTCCTAACACACCGGGGAAACATGTGTATGTATAAAAGAAATCAAAAAGTACATTTTGCATGATTGGTCCCCTTTAATACATATATATGTCTCCCCTGTGTGTTAAGAGACTCAGAAACTTTCAGCAAAAAAGGTTGTCTCTTTCCCTCCTTATCCAAGTGTGTGAAATCCGCAAAAAAAACGGACGAGTTTTCGGTTCATACGTGACGTAAAAGTTCATATTTGACGTAATTTAGCAACAAACCAACCACGGTAAGACCCCGCTTACCTGATTCCCCTCCCGCAGCACCTTTGTGTGTCTGTGTAGTTTGGCAACCGGTTTCAGCAGGATGTCTAAGAAGACTAAACGCTATTCTGTTTTAGGCTGAAAAAATCCAGCACAGCAGAGTTTCTGCCGGTGGATATTGTGAAACACTTCTCTTCAGCAGTGTTCCCTATTACCATGGAGCTGCTCGGGTAGGTGCGGAGAACCAGAAACATGTCCGCAAAGGGGCGTGGCCAGCAGCATCTCATTAGCAGTTAAAGGTCACCTTTTATGCAAAATTCACTTTTTGATGCCTTTTTATACTTAAATGTGTCCCCGGTGTGTCAGGAAACTCACAAAGTGTCAGAAAATACAACCCTCTCTCTTTTTCTCCTTACCTACATCTCTAAAAATGGGGGTACAACGGAGCTGATCCAGATTTGCCGTGGTCATGACGACATTACTAAAATGTGGGCTGGTTTTGTGCTCACGGCCCTATCAGAAACGTTGCTGTATCAGAAACAATGTGCGACGTGTTTTGGAAGTAATATGGTCTGTTTACATTAGCAAGCATCGCTAACACTCAGAGCTCAGCTAACCTGTACTGGAGAGAATATGTGTAAAGAAGCAGGAAATAAAAAAAGGAACTCACCTTGTGGTAAACCAGCAAGAGAAAAAGCATTTGGGCTACTGTTTCAGAAATAATCCTTGATGTGCTTTGGAACCTAATATGGCGTTTAATCACGGCAGCATTTAGCTGAGAATCTGGGTAGAAACCTCTCTTCACAGAGGAGAGCCCATGCCTTCTCCAAAGGGGCGTGGCCAGCAGCAGCTCTGCAACATTTAAAGCTACAGACCCAGAATCAGTATTTTAATAACAGGGCTGAAATAGAGGGGTATGAACTGAAGCATGGCTAGAATGGGTGATCTGTTTGGTATTTTGAGCAAAATAGTTAATTGGCATGTTTTTTATATATCTGAGACCAATTTTTTTGTATTGCTTGTACATGTACGCCTAAAAATAGTATAATAGGAGACCTTTAAAGCTACAGACACAGAATCAGCACTTTTGTTGGAAAAGGGCTGAAACAGAAGGGTATATATGGCATGCTATAATTCATGATCTGTTTAGTATTTTGAGCAAAATCTTCAGAGACATGTTTTATATATATCTGAGAACTATAATATATTGTTGAAATAAGTATAATACATGACCTTTAAGTCATAAAGTCCACCCTGGGAAGATAACAGTTTTATTGTGTACGTATTAACTGGCTAAAAGGTCTCCATTATGTAATAACCATGACATTTTATAATAATTTTGAAATACTGAAATGTAATAAATATTAATTGTAACACATCTGTACACATTTGTTGTCATTATATGACAATGCACAGGAAAATACTTGTCATTATAGAGGTGTAATATGATGCAAAAAAGGTGCCAACGCTGTGACATCTACTCCAGTTTGCTATGAAGGCTGTGCAGCTGCTAGAGTTCTTTCCAGGACCAAGAGGTTAGTCCTCATCACCCTGATTCCTAAGTCACTACACTCTCAGTCACAGCCGAACTGAATCTGTACATGGATCGGGACTAAAACACATCACAGACATGTTTACAGAGTTCTGTGTGCTGAAGCAACCTTTACTACTTCACTATGCTGTCCATCTTAAACATGGTCTTATCTTCAAAACAGAAAAAACACACAGTTAAAATATGCTAATGTTGAGTTATGTGTGTTCTTCAAAAAAATGTACACTTAAAGAAAGTTGGTGTAATGAGTAATGCTAGTAATTATTTGTACCTTTTCCACTTTGTTGCCTTTGATCTCACTCAGCTTGAACTTGTAGCCATGGTCGTGTTTCTCGTCGATGTGATGTGCAGCCATCCGTGCCGCCGCAGCACCTCCATCTTCGCTGCAGGTCACCGGCTCCACAGCTGGAGCAGCGCTGCAGAGCAGAGCCGTCGAGCACAGCAGCAGCAGGGTGGGTAATCCCTTCATGATGCTGAGATACATGAAGCAGACGGCTGCAGCGAGGACCCTTTATAGACCTCAGAGGGAGGGACGGATACAGGAGGTTAGTGATGGAGACTGAAGAGGGGGTAGCATGAGGTCAGGGCCGCACAAAGTCATGGGACAACAGGGACTTTAACCATGGCACTGTATGTTCACTCAAACAGTTTGTATACTGCCAAACTTTTCCTGGCACTGTAACATTTCTACTGAAGTAAGTCAAATAAAGAAACTGTCAGTTGCATCGCAGCTTTACAAGATTGTAAAATCTTATATCTCATATATGCCAATTTGTCATGCTGGAAGGAGATTGTGGCTAACATTCAGACCTACGATCGATCAGGAGAGGGCAGATTCCTGCTGATTGAGGAGCAGTGGAGCAGCACTTTCCTCTTATAGATGTTGGTGCATTCCTCACAAAAGACAAGTCTATGATATTCACTGAAAGGCCATAAAAATTGATGCATAACCTTCATATTGCTGACTTTACTGTCAATGTTTAAAACTAATAACCAGAGAAAACATAAACTACTTCCAAACTGTGACATTTGTAGTTTGTTGTACTGTTTTTTTGTATTGCTTGTGTTTTAAATGTAAAATATACAACATTTAAAAAATGTACATTATGCTTTTACATTTGCAGATCCCTCTTTGTTGTTTAAAGTCAATACATACAAATAATAAACACAAACAATAAAAACCAATCAATCAACCGTATTCATGCCATCACATAAATATAGACAAATACTATAATATTCTGTCATGTCTACAGCATATTCCCAGTTCACTGTACCTTAGATGTCTAGCATCTTCAGATCTAATTCCTTGTCTGCCTCACCTTTGACCCGTGTCTGTCTTTTTGGACGTTTGCCTACCAGCCTCTGCGTTTTTTCTGTTGTTTAACTTTTCTCACTGCTTTTCTGCGTTCAAACCACCGGTCATTGACCCATGAACCTTTGCTCTTACACAACCTGTTCTATCATAAAAAAAGAGCCATTAGAGGCTCAATCTGTTGGGACAAGCACAGCTGGGAAAACAGTACATGAAAGTCAGAAAGAAAGACACAAAGTGGATCACTAAGCCAAATGCCTGCAGCATGTTGCAGCCTTTACAATGACCAATACAGTAATGTTGAGAATAATAACCCAAACTAAAATGACAATTTTAATATTGAGTTGAATGCAATGGCATGGCCATTGTACAGTTGCCAACCAAGACACATCTTCATAAACTTGACAACACATGCGCAGCAATAAAAAAAAAAAAACGCTCCATAAATGAAACTGCAAGTACAAAAACGCTGCAAGACTCTAAAAACATAACGGATACAAGGACACTAATGCCCCGGCCACACGAGGACGAAAACGGCTAAACGCATAGGATTAACGCAATCGCAAAAAAGCTTCCGTCCACACGCAATAGTCATCCGGATAGTGTCTGTCCACACGAGACAGCTCCGTTTAGCTCCAACCGCTGGAGAAGCTGCAGTACATATGCAGGAGCCTGTACGCGGCGCTGTAACTTCCTCCACAAAAGCAGCGAAGAAGCATGGTTGTCATGGTTGCCCTTCTGTTTATTCTCCGCGGTGGGGGCCGAGGGAACCGGGCAGAGTTTTTCGCCAGTCAACGTGTATTCAAGTTTAAATCTTCCGACAAAATTATAAAAGTGCCGGTCAAAGGTCTTCTTTGTTATTTATTGAGCTTTAAAACAAATGAATAACGAATCTATATATTATAATAATAAAATACACAGAGCCTCTCTTTTTCCTCCCTCTCTTCGGACAGCGCCAGTGTCTGTTTCATGCAGCAGAGATCCAGTAATGAGTGACCCGGCCGACAGTAAAAATAAACATATTTATATCTAGTTTAGGTAGTTTGAGAGGTAATTAAAATAGCTAAGGGTGATGATCGGACTTGAAGTGTGTGTTTTACTCCGTTCACCGCCGCATCACAGCGGGAGGAGCTGCAGGTAAGCAGAGCTGCGTGTCTCCGTCCTGTCAGATTAGACTTCACTCACGTTTAGGTCCATATCGAGAGAAAGATAAATAATCTGAATTCAGTGTGCAGTTTACTTTGACGCGGGGGTGAGCAGCAGAGGTGGGGAGAGGCGGGGCTATTGCCTCATCATTATCAGAAAATGATCGTATAGGGCGTACACACGGAGCCGTTGGACCCCCCAGAGCGTTGCGTATGCCGTTCTATCCACCTTGGGACCCGTTATCGTTTACGCAGTCGTTTAGTGCCGTATTCGCTCGTCCTCGTGTGGCCGAACGGTCTATATGACACTAAACAGTAACGCAAACGACCGTTTTCGTCCTTGTGTGGCCGGGGCATAAAACGTGATGCACACGGCTGGGACCGGAGCGCAGTAAAAGCTAACTGTCAGTCTTGCAGAGTCAGTCTGTTTCATAATTGTTAGTGTTTTGTCAGTATATCAGGGTTGCCAACTCTCACGCATCTGGCGTGTGACACACGCTTTCACTCTCAATCTCACGCTCTCACGCTGCCCAAACTATTCTCACGCCAAAAAACAAGAATACCGAAGACAAGAAACGGTTTTGAAAACTTTTGTCACCTAGTGATCGTCTTCTCAATAAAACATCTTTGATAATGTCTTCTGGCCAATCAGAATCAAGATAACGGCGTGGTGTTGTTGCAGGAAGTCCCGATGGAGAATACTTTTGCGGTAGTACATCTCTATATACATCGATACAACATTACGTGTTGATAGAAATCAACACGTAATGAAATAAGACCCCACGGTTTGATGATTGATAGGTGTGTGGGCTGTCTTTCATTTTGACACACAGAACAATGGGGGCTATCCACCCTTATCCACAATGTAAAGTAATTCACACAGCCTCTTCCACTTCTCTCTGTGAGGAGCAGCAGGTTCAGCTTTCAGAACAAAGTAACACAAAACTAAAATGGCATTCATTTTTTTAAATATGTCGTGTAGTAATAGATTTATTTATTTTTCTTCTCAAGAGAGTACCAGAATGTGTATTTTATGTTAGTATTTCAAAAAATCTCCTGGAGGAGAATCCCCTAGACCCCCCTGCAGGGGTTGGGTTTTCAGCATGTCAACTCTTTCACCTGTGGAGAAATTGCAGGATTGGCTCCAGGTCGCCCTTTTTATTTACTACAAGACAAATGTGCCTTTTTATTAGGGATGCACCGAATATTCGGCCACCGAAAATTATCGGCCGAAAATGGTAAAACAGGCCCTTTCGGCTTTCGGCCGAAAGGGTTTTAGCACCGAAAAAATATCACCGAATGTCAGAACAGGCTTACGTTGGTAACCTAACGTGTTGTTGTGATGACGTAATAAAGACGCGGCGACCATGCTCGCGGCTGGCTCACAGGGGGGGGAACATTGACCTTTGTCATCGAGATTGCCCTGAGCCTTTAACAAATCGTATTAAATAATCTGATGACAGACTGTAAACAGAATAGCTGAAATTTTAACAAACTAAATAACTCAGTTACCTCTAATCATTAACCCATGTTTGTATCATGTAGTTAACTCCGTGTGTTGCTGCTAGCATACAAAACACCTGACGTGGAAACGTTACTCGTGATGGGGCTACAGAGCTGCTAGAAAGACGGTCGAACCCGGTACATTCCTCCGTCTGCATGCGGTGCACTTTTGCTAAATGTTTAGACAAATTGCTCGTGCTTACATGCTAAACTCTTATTGCACTTATGGTAACAAGTATTCTCCACATCGAGACGGGTAAAGTTTAACCACACCTCGGAGCGCGTTCTCTCCGCCATCTCCGCAGTGTGCTCCGCTGCATGTAGCAGCTGCGTGTGTGTAAACTGCCCCGCCCCCTCGCACACAGACGGGGGGGAGAGATCTCGTCTGATCGAAAATACATCATAGACGCATTTGTTGTCTTTGCATATTAGAAACGAGTTGGCGACACTAAGACTGCGATATCATGTTTTTTAGCAATAATACATGAAATATATAAATGTACTGTATGCATTCAAAAGTGCTGAATAAATGTTTTATGGACCCATAATAGTGATTATTATTTAAGTTAAGTTTTGCCATAATCATGTCTATTTCCATAATCAGGTAGCTGAACAACATTGGTAAAAAATGTATACATTATATATATATATTTCTATTAATCATTTTCGGCCTTTCGGCATTCGGTTTTCGGCCAACTGTTTCCTATTTTCGGTATCGGTTTCGGCCAAGAATTTCCCATTCGGTGCACCCCTACTTTTTATTTCATACAGTTCAATTTGGATTGAGGAAATAATCTAAACCTCACGCGTGGCGTTTCACTGTCAAGGGGAGTGTGTATGTAATTACATTGCAAATACTGACTTGAGCCCCACCACCACTGTATGGGTTAGCCCTACCATAGATTACCCAACAAAAATACTCTCTCGCAACTGCCGACCCGTATTGCGCAAGCGCAGATCTAAGAACCAGTAGAAATGATAAAAAAGTAAAAGTCTGCTGCTTATTGTTCTACTAGGCCAAAATAGAGTGTGTTAATTAATATATTTGGCAGTTTGGAGTAAGTCTGTAGATTTGTTTGTGTGTGTGTGTTTCATGTATAAGCATCTCACGATAATTAATTTTGTTGGATACATTTTCCCGGAAATTATTGCGATAAACGATAATATTGTCGGCACCGTTGTATGACCATTTTAGACCACTGACATAATGATAATATATAATAATAATTCAAGTACATCCTTTCAAACGGCTAGTCACATCCTCATGTAAATGGCAATTTATCGAGTTCATTTTTATTTATCGTACGATAAGTCAATGAATTGCTTATCGCGACAGGCACACAATAAAACAGTGGAAACAAACATGTGTTTGACTTTCATTAGTGAATGAAACTTTGTGCCCTTTATAGTCTGTGTCCAATATTGTGTATTTGTATATATTGTATATATATCCTATATATATGCTAAGGTCCCGCTACTGACACGATAGCAGTCATTTAGTGCGCATATGTGTAATTAAACCCATGATATAAAAATCTCACTCCAGCCAGGTACCCAAAGTTGGCAACCCTGGTATATTTTAAATAACTAGGTTAGCTACGTTAGCTAGCTAGCTTACAGCAGAACTGCAATAATGACAGAAGAAATCATACAATCGCATTGTAAAAAATAAGCCGATAAAACTTACATTTTTATTTAAATTTCCAGTGACATGAACCAACATGTCATGATACAGAGAATACGTTTATTTTAAACCTGGAAGAATGCATGTCCTTAAATTGAGGAAGGACAGAACAGGCTTTCAGAAAGTTGTTTTGACAGGTGCTGGAGACTTCTGGCGACTGTCAATTGCGGGAGGTTCTTCTGACACGTGAAGCCATTCTTGCCAGTTTTGCCAGCGTTATCAAAATCCATTAAGTGAAACCTTTGAGACTGCGTGGGGTACTTTGATCAGGAACTAATATGAACATTAAGAGCACAACACCTTACGTACAATGACTTTAGGAAAGAAAGATCAACTTGTCCAAAAACACAAAGGAGTGTTTAAAAAAAAATATTATGTTAATTTCTTTACCTCTGCCCAACTAGCGGGTTAAATCCAGAGCCATATAATAGAAGAGTTACGACATCTCCGTTCACTCCAATGGACCAGTTTTTTACAGCAATGGCGGATCGTGGAGCCTCTCAATCGGAACGATAGACTAGACTGCGGCTAGTCTATGGTTGCAGCATAATAGACCGTTCGTGATGGACTTTTGAAGGTAAGAAGACGTTTAAAGATTTATATTGCGGATATTATCAGAACATCTGAATCAAATTAACTACACATGTGTATTAAAGGATGTTAGTGGATTATCCCTTCAATCAGTATATTTAACGTTTACAGATAACAGATTAGGCTAGAATGCCGGATAAAGTTAGCAACACACGTTAACCACGAACAGCCTATTAATCCGTTCTCCTAATGTTATTTCCTCCAACGTTGTGGAATTAGAGAAAAGGGGCTTCTTAACGTGCTTTTATCCGGGGTAGAGGGAGTTACATATTTGTTAAATATAACATTGGGGCGTGTGATTGTAGTGGGTGGAGGTGGTGACCAGGTGAAATGAGGATATCCATCTTGGAGTTCAAGCTAGTATAATATAGTTAACGTTACACAATAATAAGGAAGAGAGCTATTTTTGTGATACATCGCTATTTATTTGGATTTAGAGTGGATATTTGAGACTTCTAAACAGTAAACTAAAACGTAACTGATTGGTGAGTGTTTTTAGCAGAGTCATATTATGTCCTTGTGATTCTGTTGATTATTACCTGTCTGTATTATGTTGCAGCTCAGCTGATTTTGGATTGATGGTAAAGTGAGAGTGAAAACACAAGGTAAAACCCTCCTGCTCTCAGCTCAGTCAGATAAATGGAGAAGAACAATAATGTTGGATTCGGCTTCGAGTGCATTTTACAACTTTAAGCCCCCTAATGCTTCATATAAGTGCTATAAAAGTGTTCATACTTGGTAGTTTATTTAGTAAAAAAAAATTATTCGCTGATTATCTGTCTTTTTGTCAATGTAAGTCAATGGTAAAAAGTATTTTGGGCCCAATGATGTCAAGAACTCACACGGAAGTAGTAGTACTGGTTAAATGTCCAGTGCTCTTCCTTGAGGTTCGGGTTTCAAGTTCTCTTTATACATCCATGGATCAACCTCACTTTAGCTTTTCTGTCAACAACCAGAAACGCTAAATGGATCTTCTACCATTGAAATGTGTCCTGTGATTTGGCAATGTATGTAAAGCTACTCAGACTGAAATGTTAAAGAATGAAGTAGGTTTTCCTTTACTCTAATCAATAAATGTTTCGGTCTGTGCTCATAAATCGTTTAGGCATATAAAGAACTGGCAGTCTCCAGCAGATAGAAGCTGTTGGAGTAGAACTTTCCTCAACGAATAAAATGTATCGTATTATTAGTGTAGCAGGATGAGAGTCCTAATCCCTGGTAAAGCGTATTCTCCTCGTTTGGTTCTTGTGAGTATATCACCACCAGGGGGCACCATATAAAAGAGCAGCGGTTTCTAGCTGTCTGCCTCTTGTTCGTTGGTGCACAGACCGGCCCCACTTCCGTGTTTGCCGTGTTCAAAAATGTATGAAGGTGGTGTTGTAGGAGCTGTGTTTCTTGACCTAAAAAAGGCATTTGACACTGTCAATCATAAAATACTCATATCTAAGCTTTCCAGTTTTAACTTTTCTTCACAAACACTTAAATGGATAGAATCTTATTTGTTTAACCGATCTCAGTATGTGAGAGTTCAAAATTATGAATCTGCTGACCTTCGTCTTTCGACAGGGGTCCCACAAGGTTCAATCCTGGGACCATTACTATTTTCGCTATATATCAATAATTTACCATCTGTATGTCCTGACACAAACAATCCAAATGTATGCAAATGACACTGTAATATATGTACATGGAAGCAATGTGACACAAGTGGCTAATGAACTGACAAACACCATGGTTCATGTAACAACTTGGTTGGAACAATGCTGTTTGCAAATACATATTTGTAAAACAGTATGCATCTTCTTCACCAAAACAAAGTCCTCTTGTGTTGAGCCAGATGTTTTTGTATCAGGGGAGAGGTTGCAGGCTACACAGTACCTTGGAGTCATGATTGATTCAACACTCAAATTCAAAAAAGTATGTAATGGGGTCAAATTCAGTCTGTCGAATTTTAGGTTCACCAGAGATTACATGTCAATTGAGGCATCTCTGATGTACACACACTATGGTTCTCTCACACATCACCTACTGTTTAACAACCTGGTCACATACCAGTACAACAACATTAAAACAACTGGAGTCATTGTAATACGCTATTCATCATCTTCATCATCTAGCATGCAAGAAGTGTAAATAGAGGACAGTGAAGGAGACACTGAGGAGGACAGTGAGGAAGACTGCACTTATTAACACCACGCTTCATGTGGGGTGAGTATTGTGAGTATTGTAATTTGTAATATGTTTAAAGACTTTCTATTTTCCACATATTACATTGAAGACTGTTGTACAAGTCTTCAGTAACAAACACATGATTTCCTTGTGTGTATCTCAGGCCTCTTCTCTTGGGTTTAGGCGGGGCTCAGGACGGGGCCAGGGGCAAATGGGGTGGATAGCTGCGTCCGATCCATGGCAGTGGAATGAGTGGAATGGGGGCATATGACGAGGGGGAGGAGGACCACCAAAACCACCAGCAGGGGAGGAGGAAGCCCCACAGTATCTTCGGGCCTACATATGGGCTCCCGCTCACCATCGCCGAGGGCAGTAGAGTTCTGTTAAGAGCAGAGCCAACAGAGTCAGTGTAAGTGAAATTCTGCCAGTCATGACAGTAACTAAGTATACTTACTCAAGTATTAAAAGTACTGTTTTGACATAAGTTTTCTTTGCTTGAGTATTTTTCATTTTAGGCAAATGTTATACTCCCCTCCATGTATTTAACACACAGTTACTAGTAGCAAGTGAATACACATAATACTCTGATATGTTACTATTCTACCCAGTATTTGACCAAGTATCTATATTGTCTCCAGACTAACAAATTACAACATTAAAATGCTCTTTTGCGTATTTTTTGGTGAATCTCTTTGGTATTCCATAATAATACAATACTGTGAACACTTTTGTTTTGCACATTAAAGGTGGGGTAGGTAAGTTTGAGAAACCGGCTCGAGATACACTTTTTGTTATATTCCATGGAATGCTCTTAACATCCCGATAGCAATTAATATCTTAAGTGCTTTGACAAAAAATCCATAAAAAAAATCTGTGGAAGCCGTAGTACTGTAAAAAGCACGACCAATCATTTTAGCCTGCCCGGCTAAAATAACTGGATGGCCTACCTGCCTGTCAGCCTTGCATCTGTGCACAAACGTATCTCGTGCCCTCATTGGTCCGGCTGTGTATTTTCAAATTCTAGCGCACTCGAGCTGGTTTCTCCAAAATGACCTACCCCACCTTTAAGTAGGTATACTGTAAGTATATTTTGCTAAAGATATTTCTGTATTTTTACTTAAGTGGCATTTTGAAAGCAGGAATGTTCCTTGTGATGGAGTATTTTTGGACTGTAGAATTTTCTCTTTTAGTTAAGTAAAGGATCAGAGTACTTCCTCCATCTCTGATCTCTGCACAGATATATGCTTACACAATTGATCAATAATAGATATAGAACACATGGATAGTGTTATTTAGCGTTTATGTGTAGAATGCGGACTCACCATTGGAGGGTAGTATTCGCACTCAACAGACCTGAGTCCCTTGGATTTGGAGTAAGATGAACGGCAGTAAGCATGGCGCTTCAAAGAGAAAAGAGAGACAGACAATTATCTCAGTGAGCAACACGTCACAAAACGTCACATGACATAATGACGGTCACTTGATGTATAGTGGTCACATGACACAGTGTCGGTAACATGAACAAATCCTTCACATGGCATGAAGTCGATCTCATGATATCAAGTCAATAAACAGTCAGTAACATGACATTACTGTAGGTTGGTCACATCACATAACGTTGGTCACATCACATAACGTTGGTCACATCACATAACGTTGGTCACATGACAAAATGTTTGTCACATGATATAACATTTGTCCCACAACATAATTTCGGTCACATAACATTACACTGGTCAAACGATATAAAATTGGTAAAATTAGAGAAATTTGGAACACGACATAATATTGTTAACACTAAATAATGTCTGTCGCATAATATAATGTTGGTAACATGACATGACGTATGTCAAACATCATATAGTCGGTAACATGACATGAAGTCGATCACGTGTTATAAAGTTGGTCACATGACTGAAAGTCGGTAACATGATATCACGTTGCACACATGAAATTAAGTCTGTCGCATGACTTAACGTCTGTCACATGACACAAGGTCTGTCACTTGACGGAAAGTAGTCAGGGGAAACAATGTCAATCATAAAGTCGGTCACATGACATTACATTTATTGGTAATATGAAAGTACCATCAATACAATTATGAAAACATTCTTAGACCTATTTCCATATTTTGTTGTTTTTGAGATTTATGTTGGCACCATTTGTTTGTAATATTTACACTGATGAAAATAATTTGCTTACTTAAAAGGGATAATGTGAGTCAAGGTAACCTATAGATCAAGTCATTGAGATCTCCCCATGTGTTTTAAGTAGCATTTAAACTGGAAGTAAAACTTGTCTTCGTCTGATAGTTTCTTGCAAATTCAGTGATTATATGTCCAAGTGTCTTCTATTCGTACGAGTTGTACTTACAGCTCGATCAGGGCAGAGGGGTTTGCATGCCTCAGGAAGGATTCTGGATCCCATTGGGCAATGGGACTCCACCAGGGCAATCTGAGCCCAGTAGTTCGACCCCGTCGTCATCATCCACTGAGAGAGAAGGACATAGCACTTCATGAGGCTGTGTGTGTGTGTGTGTCCTAGCATTACTATCATTGTGGGGACCTAAATCTGTTTACACAGTCACGTGTGGGGACTCGCCTCCCTTATGGGGGGTCCCCATGAGGGGGATCATTAATTTTAGGTTAGGGAAAAGGGCAGTGCTCCGGCTCTCGGAGATAATATTGTGGTTAAAAAAACTCCAAGGGAAATACATACAATGTTTCTAAAAGCCCTGTTGAAAGTAATAAAAATAAGTAAAATCAATTAAAAAAGCAAGAGGAGACCAGAGAGACAGAGAGATCTAGAGATCCTAGAGATCTCCTAACCTTCCGAGGACCCCTAAAGGATGTGGCTGACAAGGACCCGTCCTAAGGGAATCCTTCAAAAGGCCTAGCAATGGTGTAAAAACATTCATGAGACAATATCTTCAAAAAGCATGCAGATAAACAATAAAATTAATAGAGCAGTGTAGAGCAACACGGTGTGTGTATTTGGATTCTTTACCACGATTTTAATCCGTCCCACGTCCTTCAGGATGAAGTAGTTCTGGTTGGTGGTGTTCTCGTTGACTCTCTGCACAGCTTCTTTAACAGACTTCATACCATCAGGGTCATGAAGTGAGATCAGACTGGGGCAGTCAGGGCAGATCATCATCATCTCACTGTTCGTTACCACTACACACACACAAACACACACACAAACAATTATTTATCTGTCATAACCAATAGTTTCCCCAACTGTAACTCTATGGTAATATTCATATGGAGATATTAGACATGAATAGCACCTTCTGAGCGATTGGTTGCATTGCAATGTACAGGGTTCGATTCCGGCGTGTCTTACTCCTTGCTCCCCTCCCCCCGCCCCCAAAGAAAAGAATAATCTAAAAGTAAAAACCCTATCCAAAGTTGAGGGTTTTGGGCAAATTGTCCATTATCAATGTTCTCTTGAGTATCAGGTGTATTGCATGACAGAGACCCACCTTGTCGCGTGTCACAATGGTAATTTCGGACTCTGGCGTCACCAATTCTCACACTTATCCTAACGGAGCAGTTGGCCATCACCGCCTACAGAGAAACACAGAGCTTGTTCTGTCGAGACCTCACATAACCAATAATCATACGTCAGTCTGGCTGTACATGAATGTGACACAATACGGCTAAAGAGTAACTGATCCAACACTTACCCGTTGAGTCTCTCTGCGGATCATACAGTCCTCAAAGTGCTTCGGGTTGATGTTGTGGCACGTTGTCTCCATAAGGTCCAACTGCAGCTCGATTTCACAGCCGTCATCGACCTGCAAACACCAGAGAGTGTAAGTCACATTTCATTTTCATTTAGATGACACCTTTATCTAAAGAGACCTACAATAAGAGTAAATATAGAAACTCAGAACCCCAAGAAACCTGCAAGTACATTTGCTTCAAATAAGCCATATGTGCACTATCAATGGTGAGTTCTACTGCAATACTCTCATATTACAAATGTTTTAAATACTACATTTTGTTTCATTTCTGTCAGCGGTACGGTTAAAACGCCTACTGCCTGAATATGCTTTGTTTTTTTCACTTTCTTTGGTTCATTTTTTCTATTTATAATTAAGTTTGGTGAACCTATATGATCATAAAATAGTGTGTGTGCTTAACTGTATGTTATAAACAGGGGTGCACATAACTGGTACGCATGCGCGGCAACAATCTGAAATGCGTAACGTCACTTGTGTCACTACCATAGACTGGTCACTACGCGCCTTTGGGTACCTGATAGGTCATCAAAAACAAAACGCATATTTCGTCTACACGTGTTTCTTGTCAACACTCAGTGGAGTCAATTATTAGACATGTCCAAAAAAAACAAAGACATTAAGCAGCTACGTTGCCGTTTCGCTCCCTGCAAAAATCTTCGGACTTTCTATGACTGATTGAACTGGAGAGCGAGCCGAGCAGGACATAACCGACGGAAAGAGGCTTAGATCACTGGACGACAGAGTTGTTCGCCGTGTGCACAGACGGGGCTGCTGTTAACGTCGGTGTGTACAACAGAATTGTGCCAAAACTCCGCCAACTGGCTGCGGTGGGAGACTCCCCTGTGCACATTCAGTGCCCCGCGCACACACTGGAGAACTGCGCAAAATCAGCTGACCACAATGTTCACGCTCTGTGGTCAAGCTGCTGCAGTTTTATTTAAAACAAAGTGGAGTAAAACACAGAGTTGCAAACTTACTCAGGCTGTTAATTGAAGAGTTTGAAATCAGACAGAGGTGGAAGAAGTGTTACTCAAGTACAATTAGAAAAATATGATCAAAATCTAGTTAAAGTAGCGACAGTAAAAGTAGTCATTTTGCAGATTGGTCCATTTCATAATAATGTATATGATATGTTTTATGATCATTAAAGTGTTATCAAATTTGTTTGAATGACTTTGTATACTGCAGGGTAGATTCTGAATTTACTCCAGGTGTAACTAAAGTCTGATTTAAGACTTGATTATATTTCACATCATTCATCCAGATCTGTAAAGTAACTAAAGGTATTGAATAAATGTAGTGGAGGAAAAGTACATGATTTACCTCTGAACTGTTGTGGAGTAGAAGAACAAAGTAGCATAAAATAGAAATACTCAAGTAAACTACAAGTATCTTAAATTGTACTTAATTACAGTACTTTAATAAGTGTACTTTGTTACTTCCCACATCTGAAATCAGATATTACTTCAAGTCATGTGATAATTCCTTACTATTTGATCCTTCAACTTGGCCTCAGGAAATGCAAGGACATCACAGTTTTGGCAACACGTTTTGGAGAAAGCAAATCGGAGGCTTAAAAAGAGACAGGGAGGTGCATCTTCATCATCTTCATCATCTAGCATGCAAGAAGTGTAAATAGAGGACAGTGAAGGAGACACTGAGGAGGACAGTGAGGAAGACTGCACTTATTAACACCACGCTTCATGTGGGGTGAGTACCAAACGCTGTCTCCTGGTACTCATCTGAGTAACTCACTAAAACAGTTATGTGCACCCCTGGTTATAAACTAAAACAGAGCATTTTCTGTTGGCTCAGATTTACTACACTCTCAGTCACAGCAGAACTGAATCAATACATAGATCAGGACCAGAACACATCACAGACATGTTTACAGAGTTCTGTTTGCTGAAGCAACCTTTAGTCACTATGCTGTCCATCTTAAAACTGCTCTAACCCTCAAAACAGAAAAAATACACGGTTAGGATGATAATGTTGAGTTATTTGTGCTCTTCAAATATGTTTTTACACTTATTTTACACTTTTTCTTTTACAAAAGTGGTAACATTTGCACTTTTATGTGTCTCAAGATAAATGCTTAAACTTCCATACTTCCATAAAGAAAGTAGGTATTTTGAGTAATGCTAGTAATTATTTTTACCTTTTCCACTTTGTTGCCTTTGATCTCACTCAGCTTGAACTTGTAGCCATGGTCGTGTTTCTCGTCGATGTGATGTGCAGCCATCCGTGCCGCCGCAGCACCTCCATCTTCGCTGCAGGTCACCGGCTCCACAGCTAGAGCAGCGCTGCAGAGCAGAGCCGTTGAGCACAGCAGCAGCAGGGTGGGTAATCCCTTCATGATGCTGAGATACATGAAGCAGACGGCTGCAGCGAGGACCCTTTATAGACCTCAGAGGGAGGGACGGATACAGGAGGTTAGTGATGGAGACTGAAGAGGGGTAGCATGAGGTCAGGGCCGCACAAAGTCATGGGACAACAGGGACTTTAACCATGGCACTGTATGTTCACTCAAACAGTTTGTATACTGCCAAACTTTTCCTGGCACTGTAACATTTCTACTGAAGTAAGTCAAATAAAGAAACTGTCAGTTGCATCGCAGCTTTACAAGATTGTAAAATCTTATATCTCATATATGCCAATTTGTCATGCTGGAAGGAGATTGTGGCTAACATTCAGACCTACGATACGACAATACTTTATTATCAGATCAAGTCTGACTTTTTTCTTGCATCACAGTAGCACCATTCGCAAAATCAAGCAATGTTTGCCCTCTCCTCAGAGCCCTGAGGAGCAGTGGAGCACAATTTTCTTCCTATAGATGTGTTTTGTGGACGTGAAGGGGTGACTTTGCCACCTGGGAGGCCATGATAGATTGCTCACTCTGGATTTGGAGTGAAACGCTTCCCTAATAAAGGAAAAACAAGCATTTCAGCGACTTGAGTGTAGTATCGATACTATGATAATCACTAAAGGACCAGAAAAATGGATGCATAATACCTTCATATTGCTGACTTTACGGTCAATGTTTGAACATCTACTTTCTACTAATCCACTTTTCAAAACAAATGCAGAGATAGAAGCAGATAGAGAAACACTGCCAAAATGTGACCTCTGTTTAATTTGTTGTTGTTGATGGTGATTTTAATGTAAAAAAATAAATTAAAAATACATCATGTGCTCACATGGGCAGTTACCTCTTTGTCTTAAAGTAAATACCATCGAATAAAAAACACACAATCAAAACCAAAAGTAATCAACCGTATTCATGCCATCACAGACAAATAGAATAATATTGTGTCATGTCTAAAGCTGATTCTCAGTTATCTGTAATAACCATAGACGTTCAGCATCTTAAACCCTAATTCCTTGTCCCTTTTTGACGTCTCCTTGTCTTGATTGACATGTGCTTGCCGCATGTGCCTTATTCATCTTGTGCAACCAGTTTTCCAGTGTACAACTCACCGATCATTGACCCAGGAACCTTTACCCTTACACAATCTGGCAGCTAGGAAAACAGTACATGGAATTAAGAAAGAAACAGCCACACAATCTCGCTAACCCGATTTTCAGCCCTGTAGCCAGGCTGACAGAGAGCCACAGCTCTATTGAACCTTCTATTCCCATTGCACTCAGTAGTAATGATTTAATGTGCTTTTTTAATGATAAAATTGTTACTCTTAGAAACTAAATTAATCACCCGTTGCCTTTGACCAGTATCAACAGTTGTAGTTGACATCTTCGTAGATTCATCTTCTTATTATACACACATGCATTTCCTAACATTCGGTCTATATGCTGTAAAATGTATTATCTCTTCAATTTACACACGGCATCTATTGCACGTCTGTCCGTCCTGGGAGAGGGATCCCTCCTCTGTTGCTCTCCCTGAGGTTTCTCCGATTTTTCCCCTTAAACTGTGGGTTTTCTCTGGAAGTTTTTCCTTGTACGATGTGAGGGTCTAAGGATAGAGGGTGTCGTTTTTTTTCTTCTCATACTGATATTCTGAACAATCTGTGCTGTTGTATTTGCTGTAAAGTGTCTCTACTGTAGGCTATTTTTATTATATGTACAGCACTTTGGCTCGACCAAAAATCGTTTATAAATGTGCTATATAAATAAAACTTGATTTGATTTGAACAGTTCTAATATTAAACTAGATAGTAAACTAGAATGCTTTTCAGCCATAAACCTTGAACAATTTAATTCAATGATTCTCTCTTCTAAACCATCAACGTGTATGTTAGACCCAATTCCAACTAAGCTGTTAAAGGAAGTTTTTCCATGAATTAACAATTCTTTATTAAATATTATGAATATGTCTTTATTATCAGGCTATGTTCCACAATCATTCAAAGTAGCAGTGATAAAACCGCTTCTTAAAAAGCACAACCTCGATCCAGAGGTTTTAGCAAACTATAGACCTATTTCTAATCTTCCGTTCCTCTCAAAAATTCTTGAGAAAGCAGTCGCAAAACAGTTGTGTGATTACTTAAAAAACAATGATTTATTTGAAGATTTTCAGTCTGGCTTTAGAACAAATCATAGCACAGAGACAGCTCTGGTTAAAGTCACAAATGACATTCTAATAGCCTCAGACAGGACTTTTCTCTATTCTTGTCTTGCTTGAACACCCACATAAAATGTATCTCAAGGACCGCCTTCTTTCATCTACGTAACATAGCAAAAATGAGGCATATCTTGCCTCAAAACGATGCAGAGAAACTAGTCCATGCATTTGTTACTTCAAGGCTGAATTATTGTAACTCCTTATTATCAGGGTGTACCAAGAAATCAGTCAAGTCGCTTCAGCTGATTCAAAATGCTGCAGCTTGTGTACTAACCAGAGTTAGGAAAAGGGACCACATTACTCCTGTTCTGGCTGCCTTACACTGGCTCCCTATAGAACACAGGATATAATTTAAAATTCTTCTTCTCACCTACAAAGCCCTTAATGGGCAGGCGCCATCTTACCTTAAATAACTCATTATAGATGAGACACTGGCCAACTTGGCGACTTTCTCGCTAAATTCTGGTGTTTGGAGAATCTGACGTGATAGCACGTAATCGTTACGCAGTTACTTTCCTCAACGAGCAGTGGGTGCTAAGCCCCTCCGCTGTCCCAAAGCCCTCACAGGCAGCCTCGCTAGGCAGCTGCGCTCGAGCAAAGAGGTGGCAAAGTGACGCAAAAGAGACACACTACACGTCCAGACCATAGGTCCAGACTGAATATGAGTCGCGCTAAGCCATTGCTGATCCCACCCTGGCTTGCAGTGTGTCTCTTTTGGGTCACTTTGCCAGTCCCAAGCCCAGATAAAGAAGGAAGGTAGCAATTCCATCCCACATAACAATTCTTTTTGATTAAATGTGACTAATTCTTTAACAATACTGGACAAAATGTATGTATGTAATGTTGGTCTAGAGTAGACAAAGCATTAAAGTCATCAAGTGATGGCCAAACATTAAAACAAATAAATATAAGAATCATTTGTAGTTAAACATTGCATTTAGCTGACGCTTTTATCCAAAGCGACTTACAATAAGTGCATTCGACCAACAAGCTACAAACTTGAAGAAAATAGAATCATATAAGTACAGGTTTCATAGAGCTAAAACATTTCAAGTGCTACTCAACTGGCTTTAGATAAGCCAGTCCTTTGTTAGTATATAAGTGCTTTCTAAGCAATTCTTTGTTAGTAATTCTATCGCTCGAAGTGGAGTCGAAAGAGATGAGTTTTCAGTCTGCGCCGGAAGATGTGTAAGCTATCTGCTGTCCTGATTTCAATGAGGAGTGCGCGTGCTGGGGTGTACAGTTTAACCATTTCCTGGATGTATGTAGGAAGGGCCAGATCCATTCGCAGCATGGTACGCAAGTACCATTGTCTTGAAGTGGATTCTAGCAGTTACTGGAAGCCAGTGAAGGGAGCGGAGGAGCGGCATGGTGTGGGAACATTTTGGAAGGTTGAAGACCAGACGAGCCGCTGCATTCTGGATGGGCTGCAGAGGTCGGATGGCACATGCAGGTAGACCAGCCAGGAGGGAGTTGCAGTAGTCTAGGCGTGAGATGACGACAGCCTGGACCAGAAGTTGCATCGCTTTCTGGGTCAGCTGGGGACGTATCTTCCTGATGTTGTAAAGAGTGTATCTGCAGTAGCGGGTTGTTGCAGCGATGTTTGCAGTGAAGGACAGTTTGTTATCTAGGGTCACACCCAGATTCCTTGCAATCTGAGTCGGGGAAACAACTGAGGTGCCGATGTTGATTGTTAGGTCAAGAATGGGACAATCTTTTCCCGGAAGGAAAAGCAGTTCAGTCTTGTCAAGGTTGAGCTTGAGGTGGCGAGCAGACATCCACTGAGAGATGTCAGCTAGACAAGCAGAGATGCGTGCAACGACCTGGGTCTCTGAGCGGGGAAAAGACAGAATTAATTGAGTGTCTTCAGCGTAGCAATGGTATGAAAAACCATGCGGGCTAATGACAGATCCGAGCGAGTTTGTGTACAAGGAGAAGAGGAGGGGACCAAGAACAGAGCCCTGAGAGACCCCTGTAGTTAAGTGACAAGGGTCGGACTTGGACCCTCTCCAAGTAACCCTGTAGGTGCGGTCCTTGAGGTATGAGGTGAGGAGGGAAAGTGCAGAGCATGAAACTCCAAGTGCGAAGGAGAGTGCGAAGGAGGATCTGATGCTTCATCGTGTCGAATGCAGCAGACAGGTCCAACAGGATGATGACAGAGGAGAGGGAGGCTGCTTTGGCAGTGTGCAGTTCCTCAGAGACAGCGAGAAGGACAGTTTCTGTTGAGTGACCTGCCTTGAAACCAGACTGGTGCGGATCCAGAAGGTTGTTCTGATGGAGATAAGAGGAGAGTTGTTTAAAGACAGCGCGTTCAAGTGTTTTAGACAGGAACGGTAACTGTGTACTCTCATGTTCCGAATAACCCAGCTTCCCCCAAATTTCTTTTTGGTGTCTATATACGCCGGGATCCTGAGTCGTGGCTGATCCTGTTGCTGTGGTCCTGATTCCTGGATCGCGAGCCCTGGATCCTGAGTCGTGGCTGTGCCTGTTGCTGTGGTCCTGGATCCTGAGTGCTTGATCCTGAGTCCTGGATCCTGAGTCCTGGATCCTGAGTCCTGGATCCTGAGTCCTGGATCCTGAGTCCTGAGGCCTGTACTACGAATGTAGTTCAACATATCCTGGATATGTTTGAGTTAGCCGGTTGACCTAATCCAAAACAAACGCGCTCTCGCTAAGCGGTCCTACGACGCGGGTTATCAACTCGATCGCTCAAGCCAGCCGTACCCTATCTAGTTAGGTGCGCGTTCACATAAAAGGGGTGGTATTTGGAGCGATCGACCAATCACAAACATGGACAAGCTGCGTCATACT